GATGTGAATCGCAGGCAACCCGAGGATCGCTGCGCCCAATGTCCGGAAGTTGGCGGCGATTGTTAGACAGCTGATCGATCCAGCCAGAGTTCCATCGCTGCGCTGGAGGTACGAAGTCGCTGATAGAACCACCAAGGGGGGAGGGGAGGGGTTGGAAGAGACAGAGAGGGTGGGAAAAACTTACCTGGTATTGTGCAGCTGTTCCCCAATTCGCGATGCGCGCTGGGTCCGCGATGCGTTTCTTCAGCCCGTGAGCGCCGAAGGCGCCGAGCATGACGCTGGAGGCACCGAAGAGGGTGCCGATTGTCCAGAAGGGTGGCATTGTTGTGTGTTGTGTGGTGTGGCGTGCTATGTTTGCTTGTGTATGGACAAATGGTGGGATGATTGTGAGAGTGGGAAGTTGCGGAGTTCTCGGAGGTGAGTGGTCTGTGCTCGATGAATCATGCATTGAGCTTTTGTAGACGAGAGAGAGGTATCTAAGAACGGATTTCTAGAATGCAAGAACAGTCTTGAGCAGATTTTGGCGAGAGGTTTATGAAATCTCTCGACAAGATCCTCCGAACTGCTCTACATCATACATCCATTGCTCTTGCTTGAATGTAGATCTGAGATGCTCAATCGCACACGCTGTCCACCAATATTGATGAAACTCTCCACAAGCCACTCGTACCACACCTTGCGGTCGTCCGTCTGCCGCCAGAAGCTGACTTCGACCTCGGAGTTTGCTGGGAGTTGGATTGGTGTCTAGACGATATTAGCACTTGAGATCCGAAGAATAGAATGAGCGAACGTACCTTGAGAGGGAAGAAGATGGGAAACCACGAAATCATGTCCTTGCTCTTCGCCTCCATCGTGACTGGGTTTGTGCTGAGCTCAACGGGACCCTGCGATCCGCTGTAGAGGACCGTCTCAAAGTAGCCTCCCAGACCGTGACATACACTCTGCTCTTGGATGGGGAAGGTGATGCGACAGTCCCGGTAGTTGTGCTCGTTGGCACCATCCCCACCAACGAAACCACCTCCGCCACCAACTGCAGAACCGCCCTTGCGCAACGACGCCTGAGCAAGGACAGTGGGAGGCAGTGGGTGCGAAAACTCCCATGCGGTGTGGACGATTGGTGCAAGCGGGGCCTCCAGGTTAAAGTTGCTCATCTTTGTGCCGTCGCTCAGCTGCGAATTGGCCATTGTCTCCTTCTTCTCCGTAGACAGGTAATCAAACTGAGACAGCATGACTACCCACGGAATTTCAAAGGCAGTTGGATCCATAGTCGTACTGCGGCTGTGCAAGTCGGACCAAAGTCTTGGAGTCGATATGGGTGTAAAGTGTGCTGTGTAGCTGGACGGTATCGAAATGCCATGGTCTGGGTTGAGCACATGCTGCACGCCATCGAGACACTCCGGAGACAGTTCGTTGTCGGCAAAAGATCCAAGCAGCTCGCTGACGAGGATGTCGACCTTGCCAAAGCTCCCGTCTGGCATAGTCGGACCCTTCCATGCACGCATGTCGGTCTTGACCACAGTCACGCGGCCACCCCACGTCTCCACGTTGTGTCGCTGCAAGAGCACATAGGCGTTAGGATTCTTTTCAATAGCGAATACGCGAACGGGGACGCCAGTACTCGCGCTTGCATTCAGCGCACGCGTCACGAGCGGTCCGCGGCCTGATCCTACAACAGCGATGACAACGACGCCGTCTCCAGAGCTCGTCGACCTCTTTTGCTCCTGCCAGTCGCCGAGTGCCTGGGCAATGGCGCGCTCGTACCAGGCATACTTGATGGGGTCCTTTTCAAAGACTTCGTATGTAATGGACTCGAGGTTATCAGTCAAGGGCTGGAGAGGACTCTGCAGGTAGTCCTGGAACCCGGCGCCGAATCGCTCAAGCTGGCTCTTTGGCGGCTGATTGCGCTGAATATATCTGAGATAGCTCAGGTGAGGTGTGGGGTCATTGCTGCTACTCGATGGCTTTCCGGCCTTCTTCAAAAGTTGAGCCGCTTCGGCCGGGGTCGGGGCGGGCGCGTCTGATGAGCGAGGACTAGGAGCATCTTCAGCTGTACGTGGAGATAGGCGCCCTGTCGAGTAAGACATAATCATGTCCGGGTCGTCGATGCCTGGCAACGGACCAATGTCAGTCACCAGCAGCCATGGAGAGCTTCTCAGACGCGCGCATCGGAATATAAAGGCCTGATGCGCCTTGGACAGGACAAAAGACTGGCGAGCGTTGAGGAGAAAGGACGATGCCGGTATGTTGAGGAGTCGGAGAGGTTCAGAGTACCATCGTGACTGTAGAGCAAGAGACGGCATACGGCGGGGCAGGTCCAGTGCTACCGACAATCTGTTGCTGTATTTACAAATGGTTCTAATGGTGTTCCATGCTTCCCATGAGCTCCATGCCGTAGTCTTCTTGGATTCCGCACTTGACTCGGAGTTGTCTCTGGCAAAACGTGCGAGGTCTCCCAAGTCGTCCTTTTCAATGGTGGCCTTGGAGCCGTCCATGGGCAGTTGGACGTGGAGCTGGACGTATCCGCCCGTCGCAAGAGCCTCCTTGATCGCGCGCGCAAACTGGGAAACCCCATTCTGACCGTGGCCAAGTCGCGGGCCGGGTACGATAACCGTCGTGGCACCGCAAAAGGCAGCATATGCGATTTCCAAGTGGAAGACTTGTCGCGAAATGTGCGCAATGACGGGGTCTGGCGAGGAGAGGTCAATCCAAGAGCTCGTAAAGGTGAGCAGCTGACTGATGGTGTCGCTGGGTCCAAGAGGCGTATCTGGATGGTCCAGTGCAGGGATCAAGGGCAGAGGCTGCGGTTGTGACGGGTCTGAGAGAGACTGCGTGTACGAATTGAGGAGGCTCAAGACGCGCGTGTGGAAGTGGTCGTTTGTAATGGGGCTGGTTAGCATGTCATACTGTATACTGTTAGCAATTATTCCGCGTGTATGATGGGTAGCACCTACCCCAAGATCCTGTGCATGCTGAATGAGCTCCGCCGACGCATTCAAGCCCCGCTTCGTCTCGTGGTGGCCAATGTAGAACATGGGCGCCGACGGCTCCATGCTGTCAGAGTACGACATTATGAGGTCTAGGTCGGAAGGCGCGTCTATGTTGTATGCAGGGTTTCCAGGGAGAAAATAGTTCGCGCAAAGTTCGCGATGGAGCTCAACGCGGGGTCATGCGTGAGGGATCAGATGGAAGACTGGAAGGCTGGAAGGCTGGAAGACTTCTAGGTAAGAAGGGGATGGTCACAGAGTGAATCTGGGAAACACGAATGGTAAACAAACCACCGCAGTGGTGAATGGTATTGGACTACATGGTGTTGGTACCTGGGATATTCGAGTGACCCTCGCGGCGGTGTGGATGATTCGCGGCGGCAAGTGGAGCTAGCTCAGCCGAGCGCATAACTTTTTCGAGAAGACTAGCAGCAGCCGCATTCACGTCACGACTTGCCTCAAGATATGCACGACATGACGATTAAGCGCGAACACAACGACGACGAGGGCGCCAGTTCGAAGCGCGTCAAGGTCGAGGCCAACGGAAATGGCAATTCCGACAACCCTTACCTGGCGCATTGGAACGACGAGAAGCCCGTCAAGAGCGAGTATGGCGGCGGAGATGCGCTCGCCAGCTTCAAGCGCCACGCAACGACGTGCAAACAGGCGTCGCAGGCCGAAGATGGACCCAACAACCCCTTCACCGGCCGGCCGCTGTCGAGCAAGTACATGAGCATCCTGAAGAAGAGGCGCGACCTGCCAGTGCACCAGCAGAGGTACCTACATGAAGTAACAGCTGCCCCCGCATAGCTAATTGGCCACAGAGATGAGTTCCTCAGGCTGTACCAAGAGTCGCAGATCCTCGTCTTCGTCGGTGAGACGGGTTCCGGAAAGACGACGCAGATTCCGCAGTTTGTCCTCTTCGACGACCTCCCCAACCAGAACGCAAAGATGGTCGCGTGTACCCAGCCCCGTCGTGTCGCCGCCATGTCCGTCGCCCAGCGTGTCGCCGAGGAAATGGACGTCGAGCTTGGAGAAGAGGTCGGCTACAGCATCCGTTTCGAGGACAAGACGGGCCCCAACACCATTCTCAAGTACATGACCGACGGCATGTTGCTGCGCGAGGCCATGAACGACCACAACTTGACCCGCTACAGCACCATCATCCTTGACGAGGCTCACGAGCGCACCCTGGCTACCGATATCCTCATGGGTCTTCTTAAAGAGGTTGTGCTGAGGCGCAAGGACCTGAAGCTCATCATCATGAGTGCTACCCTCGACGCCACCAAGTTCCAAAAGTACTTCCACAACGCCCCGCTGCTGGCCGTACCCGGACGAACCCACCCCGTCGAAGTCTTCTACACACCTGCGCCCGAGCGCGACTATGTCGAGGCTGCCCTGCGCACCGTACTGCAGATTCACGCCACCGAGCCCGAAGGCGACATCTTGCTGTTCCTGACTGGAGAGGAGGAGATTGAGGATGCGTGCCGGAAGATCAATTTGGAAGCGCAAGATCTGAGCAGAGAGGGTGGTGCCGGTCCGCTCGTCGTATACCCGTTGTACGGGTCTCTCCCTCCCGCGCAGCAGCAGAAGATCTTCAACCCTGCGCCACCCCCAGCAACACACGGAGGCCGGCCTGGAAGAAAGTGCATCGTCTCCACCAACATTGCGGAGACGTCGCTGACCATTGACGGTATCGTCTACGTCGTCGACCCTGGTTTTAGCAAGCAAAAGGTGTACAACCCCCGTATCCGTGTTGAATCGCTTCTCGTCTCTCCCATCTCCAAGGCTTCTGCCCAGCAGCGTGCTGGTCGTGCCGGTCGTACCAGGCCCGGAAAGTGCTTCCGCCTATACACTGAGACCGCCTTCAAGAAGGAGCTCATCGAGCAAACATACCCAGAAATTCTGCGGTCGAACTTGGCCAGCACGGTCCTCGAGCTGAAGAAGCTTGGTGTCGACGACTTGGTACACTTCGACCTCATGGACCCTCCAGCTCCCGAGACGCTCATGCGTGCGCTGGAAGAGCTCAACTACTTGGCCTGTCTGGATGACGAGGGCGAGCTGACCACGCTTGGTGGACTTGCTTCTGGCTTCCCTCTTGACCCCGCGCTTGCCGTCATGCTCATCACCTCGCCCGAGTTCTACTGCTCAAACGAGATCTTGTCGCTCACCGCGCTATTGTCAGTCCCTCAGGTCTTTGTGCGACCTGCTGCCAGCCGTAAGCGAGCCGACGAGATGAAGGAGCTCTTTGCGCATCCCAAAGGTGACCACCTCACGATGTTGAACGTGTACCATGCATTTAAGGGCGAGGAGGCGCAAGCCAACCCCAAGCAGTGGTGCCACGATCACTTCCTATCCTACCGTGCTCTGCAACAAGCCGACAATGTACGCATGCAGTTGAAGCGCATAATGGAGCGCGAGGAGCTCGAGCTCATGTCCACGCCGTTTGAGAACAAGAAGTACTATGAGAATATTCAGCGTGCTCTTGTAGCTGGCTTCTTCATGCAGGTCGCCAAGCGCGACGGCAACGGCAAAGCATACACGACGGTCAAGGACGAGCAGAATGTATTACTGCATCCGAGCACGGTGCTTGCCGAGGACAGCGAGTGGGTCATCTACAATGAGTTTGTCCTGACCACGAAGAATTATATCAGGACAGTCACGTCGGTAAAGCCCGAGTGGTTGTTGGTATGTCAAATTCTCAACTTTCAATCGGATCAGCTTGCTAATAAATAATAGGACATTTCGCCCAACTACTATGATCTCTCCCAGTTCAAGAAGGGCGACATCAAGACGGCGCTGCAGAGAGTCACAACAAAGCTGCAGCGTAAGGAGGCAGAAAAGGGACGCAGGTAGAGAACAAGAACTTCTGTAGGATAGTGATCGAACGTGTTCTGGTCAGCTAGTGTATCACCGGTTGGCAAAAGCATGGAGTCATCATGCCGGCGTTGGTAGACCATTTGGGCGAGGAGTGCATATCGCCGGAGTTGAAGGTTTCGCGAATGGATACACGTGTTCAAGTCTATTGCATGATCGAAGCTCATCTATTGAATAACGAGAGTTTCCGTTACAAATGCTTACTAATCAGCAAATGATAACGTTACAAAGTCTTGGCTTACACTACAGGTCGGAACCAATCCCCGTCAAATGCCGACATCTCCAACTTTTTTTCTACGCGCTCGTCGAACGCGACATACCGCAATCGCAAACCGCACCAGATACGCCACGACCGTCGCAATGGCCCCAATACCCGCCCAAAGTGACGAATACTCCCTCCTACACATCGAGCGCATATCACAATACGTCTGCCTCTCACCCGCATCGCTCAACAGCCCGCTCCCCGCCCTCTGCGCCTCGATATTCTCACCACTTCTACTGAGCTACTTCCCACCCGCGAAGGGGATCGTACTCGCATACGAAGATGTACAACTAAGTTCCACACCGCCCGGCTCCAAGACAAACTCCTCGGCGGCAGAACCGCTGCTGCTCCGACATGTCGACGAATACACATCACCCTTCCTCTGGGCCACCGCGTCTTTGCTCGTCCTTCGTCCCGAAGCGAATAAATACCTCACCGGCCGCATCACACATCAGAGTAAAACGCATATCACCTTGTCACACCTCAACACCTTTCCTGTGTCAGTTACGAAAGACCATCTTCCTGACACATGGACCTGGCAACAAGCACAATCTGGCAAAGTGTCAAAAGGCTGGGACGGACGGCTAAATGACGAGGGAGGATGCTGGGTCGATGTCAATGGCGAGAAGATCGAAGGAGAATTGAAAATCAGAATTCGCGATTTCGATGGCAGGATGGATGGCAGGGGGAAGGGCAAAGGTTTTCTGAAGGTCGAGGGCAGTTTACTGAGTCAAGAGGAAGAACGGGAGCGCAGGGAGAAGGGACAAAAGGGGAAGGAGAGGGCAAATGGGGCGGTGAGGTCAAGTGGGGAGCCTATTGAGGTTGAGTAGGAGCGTGAGAAACGAGGGAATTGTAAAAGAGGCGTGTATTGGCATAGGCATGGCGTTTTGGCGTATCAAAAGCATGGCATCGGGATGATACCAGCGACGAAGTAAGCATCGATATGCTGTGGAATGCATCAATTGCGACTTTCACCCAATCTTTTCAGAACCTCCTCCCTGTGGTCAATCGATTACGGAGATAGCAAAAGACATTATCCAGCTGGAAAAAGAGTCGATTTAAGAATGCTTTCTTCCTACTGCCATATCTCCACATATCGGCGTTAAGCGGAGATATCCGCGTCTCCAAGCCAGACTAATGCAACCTGCTGACACCAATGAACGCATACCCAAACTAGCAGTTCTCGTCAATCAAGCATAAAAGAGATGGAAAAGTGCACTTCAAACACCAAGATAGTTTCATTCCATCTTCTCAACAATGCCTCAAACACTTCCCTTCCAAGACATCCACGTCCCCGTCCCCGGCTTCGGCGCAATGGGCATGTCCCACGGCCTAGGCACAAACCTCACGCTCGAACAAGCCGAGCCCGTACTCCTCAAGGCAATTGAACTCGGCTGCACATTCTGGGACACTGCGGTCGTGTACGCGGCGGGTGTGAATGAAAAGCTCCTCGGCGACTTCATCCGCAAGCACAACGTGCGGGATAAAGTATTCAGTACGCCTCCATCCTCCCCCAAACACTCAACTGGTGGTTAATCAGAGTGACAGTCGCGTCCAAATGTGGCATCAAGTGTTTCGACGGCGAGTCTGGCGTGACCAATAGTCCAGAGCATATCGAATCTTACATCACCGGCACCATTGAACGTCTAGGCTTCACTCCGGATTTATACTACCTGCACCGCATCGACCCCAACACGCCGCTGGAAGAATCCATCACCGCGCTCGACCAGCTGCGCCGCGAGGGCAAGACCAAGTACATCGGGCTTTCGGAATGCAGTGCGCAGACGCTCAGGCGGGCGAATGAGAGTATGTGATTCCCCACTGCGCTGAAATGATTGAGGGAGAAACAAGATATTAATGAGAATATATCACAGTCGCCAAAATCGACGCCCTCCAAGCCGAATACTCGCTCTTCGAAACGCTGCACGAATCCGACGGCCTCATCTCCACCGCGCGCGAATTAGGCGTTGCATATGTCGCTTACTCACCGCTCGGCCATGGCTGGCTCGTCGACTCCTTCCCGTACAATTCTCCAGACGACTTCGCGGCCGACGACTTCCGCCGCACGAGTCCGAAATTCCAAGAACCCAACTTCACTGCTAACAAAGCCATCGTTCTCGCTGTGCAGGCGCTGGCGAAGAAGAAAGGCTGCTCAACGGCGCAGGTGGCGCTCGCGTGGGTGGCGCAGCAGGGCATGATTGCGATTCCGGGGACGACCAAGGTGGGAAGGTTGGTGGAGAATTGGGGGAGTCGGGATGTTGAGCTGGGCGAGGCGGAGATGGGGGAGTTGAGAAGGCTGGTGGAGGGGACGAAGGTTGTGGGGGAGAGGTATGGGGAGGCGCATAGGGGGATGGTTGGGCATTAGAAGGAGAGATAGGTTGTTCATGTGATAGTTAGATAGGCATACATAACTTGAAAGCCAGAGTTTCCATCGAGCTATTCATTATTTGGAACAATCAGTGTGCATGGACGGAGGGAAGGGTGGAGAGGTTGGGGAGGATGGGATGGATGGGATGGATGAAATGGATTGTTTGGGAGTTCATTTTGTGTAATATTCTTGCGTCTTAATAGAAACAATGTTCATTCTCAAGTGGTCGACTGTGCCCGCCCCTTTCGCCAACACTTGGCGCAGAGACGGAGAGTGGAGTGGAAAGAGTGGTGTCGATGGGGTGACGTTTGTGGATTGGACGCAATTATACACCTTTTACCAGTCACGAGCGTACTGTAATTCCGCGCTTCTGTTGTACTGCGTCTTCATGTAGTCGTTGATCTTGACCCACGGCGGGTGGGGTTTGAAGTCATCAAGGCAGTTCCGGCGCCTTGACACGCGGTGGTACACCCATTCTTGATCTACGATTGAATCAGTTACATATCATGATGCAGAGGGTCCGAGCACATACACCACACTTTGTCCATAGTTATGCGTTGATCCGGACACTTTGCCGCGGCTTCGTAGAAGCAGTCCCACCAAGGCTTTTGAACTTGTTTGTTCTCACAGTAACACTTTACAAGCTTGTCATGCCCGGACGTCCAGAGTCGAACGCTCAGGACGTCAACGCAGTTCCCGGCGTTGGAGCCCCGAGGCCAGATACTACGATCGCATGTAACCTGGGCCTTGGCCTTGAGTGTGTAGGTTAGTGAAAAATTGGAATAAATCGAGTGGAGTAAGTACTCACAGCACATGACAGTACCTCCCAAGGTGCTAGGTCGTCTGATGATGTTGCGCGTTTCGCCAGCGAGGCCATCTCTCGTTCCACCAAGGACGGGGGTGTTTCCAGGCCTATCTCTGGCCATTCCGTAAGAAGGGAGGAGCGTATCTCGGGAAATTCTATCTTAGATGCCATCACGGGCAAGATCGCCCCCAGCAGGGTGACAATGTGAGTTCGCATGTTTTATTGTGAATATCGTTAAAGTTCGAAAAGGGTTGATGCTGGTCAAAGGGAAATTGCACTCTGTTTATACGTAGAAAAAGAAGAGAAAAATTCCAAAATTATATCGCTCTACTGAGCTTCTGTTCGGGAACGTCGCAAACCTTGGTACCTCTGGTGACCTAGTACCGTTGTAGCTCAGCGTACCACAATGCCATCTAGTCTTTTAATAATAACAAGTGCGGTCAATCAACCAACGAAGAGGATCTTTTTCTCTCTACCTCTTCCAATTCAATTCAAATCGTTACAGGTTTCCATGAACTCATTGTGCTTCGACTGAACTTCAGAACTTTGGAAGTGTGGGAGAGGTGTGGGTGGCGAACCCCACTTTCGCCTTTCGTCAAACTAAACAACGGAAACCGCTTCCAACATTTCCATGCTATGCATGTTGAGATCAATTTTTTCACATACAAACAACTGCTACAATGGTATGCAGCTGATGGAGTCTCGTGTCACAAGATCAGCTTAAAATGGCAGGTAGGTAGTGCGATTGCGGCTAATGCGTGCCTGCTTATCTTGGTAGTGCTTATGCATCCTTCAAATCCTCCTCAGCGTGTCTGACTCACGTCATCTAGGATGCACCACGTTAAAGAAGTCGATCTCTTGGCCGCTTTCTTAATACATTGACACACATCCATTACAGCTAGTGAAATGCAACACAAGGTTATTGTAACACAATATCAACATGCCTTTTGAGCTTCGCCCTATCACCTCAGATGACACATTATCCTGGGTGCGAGTACGTTCTCTAGCTTACTACGGACCGACACACGAGTGTATACACAACGGAGCAATCAGTGACTCATCCGTCCGCCGTATCGCCGAAGACTGGAAAGAAGACCTCAAGAAGCCAAACAACTATCATTGGAGAGTAGTCGACACAGACCTTGAACCCAGCGAAGATGACCCACCAACCAACGGAGGTCGCACCATCGCCATCGCAGTATGGAGCATGCATAATGCGAAAGCCGAACGCAGCAATGAACCTGTAGCGACTCCATCCCTCACCACCACAAAGTCTAGCTTTGTTCCCCCAGAACTCCGACTCGATGCCCTGAGCTCACTCCTCGGACCGCTCCGCGCAGCCCAGCCAGAGATAATGGGTTCTTCAGAGCCGTATCTCATGCTCAACATGCTCGCTACGCATCCCGATCATCAGGGTCGTGGAGCTGGCAAAGTGTTGCTGGACTGGGGGCTCAAGAAGGCGGATGATGAGGGACTTGTTACGTATCTCAGTGCTACGGGGTTGGGGAGGCGGATGTATGAGAAGAGGGGGTTTGAGGTGGTTAAGACAATTGAGTGGGATAGAGTGCCGTGGGGAGGGGAGGGCAAGGATTGTCATTGGTGTATGGTAAGGAGGCCGCAGAAGGAGAAGGTGTAGGTGGCCCATTCTTTGGGAGTTAATGAACCATAACTAGCATGCATCGTGCACGTGGGTATTTGAAGAGTTTACTCATTAATGAATGATGTCTAGTCCTATCTATGTTCTTGCATGTCACAAGTACATAAAACTAGATTCATTTAGATACAATCGCAAATTGCAAGACTCCTACATGTAAGACCATTTGAGCATGATGCTTTGAACGCCTGTGAACCAAGAATATCTTTCCCGTTACTATCAACGCTTCACAGCATGGAAGGTATGCGTCCGAACGATTCTCTTGCCGTCTCTTTCTTGCTTAATGTGGTATGCGATTGCGGGCGCCGGGTCTTCACGAGCGGCCATGCGGTCAGCGGATCTAGCGTTCGGTTGCGGAGTCGAAGGTCCGGGAATCACTGGCTGAGGTGCCACAGGCTGCGGTGCGACAGGATTGGGACGAGGTGGCAGACCTGCCTGTGGATCAGGTACGACGACTCGTGGCGGGGGTATGAAGTTGGGGCTTGGATCGGGCAAGATTTGTTGCTGAGGAACGTCTTCAATCTTGAAAACCATATTTGGATAGATAAGCCAAATATTTGGATTCTTCTCACTTCGGCGAGTAGGGCTTCGGAAGACTGTGACACTGACGATTTGCTTGATCCCAAGGTCTTTTTTGTGTTGTACGAGTAGGGCGACGCAGGGTTGTGCAGCAGGTGAACCGAGCAGCGCGAGTCCTTCAGGCGTGTTGGTGTTGAAAACGCTGTTTTGGGCTGGCCAATTCTCCATATCGAACATACCGCGAGCAAGTATGTACCGCGAAATCAGTCGATGGGTGGCAAGGTCGGTGATGTCCGAGATGGCGCAGCTGAACAAGGCGGTTTTCGGTATTACGTCGCGGCGTCGTAGTGCCCACCATTCCAAGAAGGCGAAGTCAGCACGAGATCGAAGCTGTGGTAGCTCGTTTTCTGCAGCTTCATGGTCCCAATTACTGCGTGTTGCCACCTTTGGAGATATTGCCGACTGAAAAAGCACAATTCCGTCATTAGTGTTAATGGCAAGTTGGTTGATAGCTCCAGTGCAGCGGTAAACTGGCCCACTCCCCCCATACAGACGGTACGTCTGGTCCTGGAGAGGTGCTTGGCTTGTAGGGTCCCAATGCTTGAACCTCTTGAAAACCCAAGCTACCGGATCTGGAAAGCGATTCGGAGCCAGATCGAACATGGTCTGTGCCCAGCCCTGATAGACGAAATCGGTGGCATGGGGGACTGGACCTACTTCGTCCCATTTGTACGTTTTGTACGCTCGAGCACGGTACTTCACCTTTTCGCTCGGGGACCAGATTGACTCAGCAGAAGCCGGATTCCTGTTATCTCCTTGTTGTATACCAGCTCCGCGATCTGTGCTTTTCATAGCACACAGAGTGCTGGTACCGATGGCGAGGTAAGCTTGATGAAGAGCATCTGGGGCGCTGTTGACGACGAGATTCTGTGCATTCCAGCTTACGGGAGGGCCCGCGCTAAGCACTGCAGCGCATAGAGTCGCAAGGGCGACGAGGAGGTCAAGGAGTTTCATGATAGTTGAGTAATGTCGTGGGAAAGTAACGGAAGTGTTCGAGTAGGCCGTATACCTTCACGGAGCTAAGACCTACGTCACCGACAACTGTAAAACGGATGAGGATATCCAGGCCCACCTGTCCCGCGATCACCTTTTCTTTGAGGGCCGCCTATTGGCGCGCGCAAATCAGAGTGGCTTGTACAAACAATCAGCAACAGCACGTGACAATGGCGGCAGCGGTGCCTAAGTTCGATCTCAGCCGCAGTGTGGTATATGCAATAGTACATCGGGTACGAGCTTTTGCCTAGGAATGTTCAGTGCTTGGACAAATGCCAATGTTGCATAACCGGAATGATGTGGCCCGAATAGATTCAGTGACTCATAAAACTTGAATAGTTCCCTGACATCCTCATGAGGCTATTCAGCATTTCCCAACAGTCGACATTGGATGAACACTCTCAAGAACTGAATTTGTATACTCGCACGCCATCGCTATCCTTACTCTTCTCGTACTGCACAACCCTCGCACGCCTCGACTCAGCGCCTTGGGGTTTGTCGTCCGTAACATCATTTGTGGGCACATTCTCGATCTGGAAGAAGATGTTGAGATCATTCTTGGGCCGCTCTCCGAACTTTGGCCTGCCAATAGCATTGTTGGTGACTACTATGACTCTCCTGATGTGCTTAATACCTGGCTCAGCCTTGTGTCGTGCGGTCATATGTTGGTTATCGTCGATCCAATTGGCGACCGTATCGAGCGTTAGTTAATGCCCGGTTCTTTACATCTTTAAATCCTCCATCTCTCTCACTCACCTGTCAACGCTTTACCCGCATCCGTTTTGGCATCGAATGAGTCTCCCAGTCACGCTGTGAGTCTTTACTTTTTGGCTTCTCTCAATGCTCTGGCGGCCAGAAGTACGGTGTCATCGTTAACGACCTTCTTTGCACCATAGAATCGGAGATTATTGACATTGGGATAGTCGCGGACCCAGTAGCACGAGTACATGTCGGAGCAGTAACGTAAGTCTGGAAGCTCTCCGGGCGAGGCTTTCCTTCCCCAATTGTCATGGTCTACCACAGCGATAGACGGAGACTCTAAGTTCTTTGCAATGATCCCTGAGATGTAAATATTATTGTAGTAAGTAGACATTATGCACGCGTGTCACTGTCTACCGGATCGCCTTCATCGTCATAGCGTAGCTTCGCATTCATTCCCAGCCCTTCGAATGCAGCCGTGAGACACATCCGCTCAAAGTCACATTCCCAAACCTTGTCGCAGTCATTTTCATGCCAGAACCACTTCAGCATATCCCCTACACACGCATTAATAGCCGGGATAGTACTGGCGATAGCATCGATGCCACATGCTGCTCAGGTGCTGGCCCTTGGCAATGTACGAATTCCATTTGGCATCTTCGGGGAATCGCGTGATATCGAAGTCGAGCCCAGCTAACTCGGGAGGGGATGCCACACTGGTGGCAGACTGGATACAAGCACTCGTGGCAAGTAAATACGAGCAGATGCGCATCTTTGTCAGACTCCTCGATAAGCGATGATGTTTGGGTTGCGAGATGTAGCACGGGTGAAGAAGATTAGAACAAGTGTTGCGTCTTTGGAGTCGGTGAGAGTGAGAAGGGAAGGTAGGAACAAGGGCACGTGATGCAGCAAAGTGTTGAGTGCAACAACAGGTCGTGGTCCAAGACATCAAATTCTACGCTGCTTTTTCTTTGTAAAAGTTCTTCGTTCTCTCCTCACCCATTCTCAATACTTCTCTTGCAAGATCACCCGTCTCATCTCTTGGTGTAAGCTTGATCTTGAAGTCTCTGGGTATTGCCACTAGCGCACTCTTGATGGCATTATATTCCACGTAGTCTGTATTTGGCGGTTCAGTACTACTTGCTTCGATCTTGTAGAGCGACAGTATGCGGAAGAGCGCGGCGCTGATGAGCTTGCTGGCAATGGCTGCACCAGGACACGAGCGTGATCCAGCTCCGAATGAGAGGTGGGATGTGCTCGAGGTAGGCTTTTCGGTGAAGATAGACGGGATGCTGGAAGGGTGTGGAGGCTCAAGCCAGCGTTCGGGGTTGAATGTGCCTGCGTCGGGACCCCAATAGTCGACGTCTGCTGTTGTCAGTCGCCACATACACTAAGGACGACCCCTCGTAGCTTACCATGATTTCCTGCCTGCGCATTGATCAAGACCATTGTACCCTTTGGTATAATAGCCTCGCCCCATCTAACATCACTCATCGTCTTGCGCGGAAGACTCATGTTGCTCACGGTATAGTATCGACCTGCTTCTTTTACGATGGCATTCAGGTACGGCACATTCTCCTTTTCAAATTCCCTGGACCAAGCATCTTCAAGGTCCGGATAGACCTTTGAAATTTCCTGATATGCAGTCTCTTGGTATTTTTGACCCTCTGGAGTCGACAATGAGCCAATGCAAGACACAAGAGTGCCTGGAATCGTTTCGAAACCGCCTGACACTAGTGAAAGACAGATGGAGCTCACTTCGACGCCAGTAAGTCGTGTCTCTTCGTCTTTGAGGATGGCGGCGCTGATGCATGGCTTCTCGGTGCCTTTGTCGATCATGTTGCGCACCTTGTCCAGTAGCTCGTTCAGATACTTGTCTCTTCTTTCTCTGAGTTCTTTCGATCGCCGGTTCTTCTCATTGTTAGGTAGGTAGCGCAGGATGGGAATGTAGTCTTGATAGTTCTCAGAGGCGGATCGTAGCAGTGAAATGGCCGAGCCGACGTGTAGAATCTCGCGAAGCAAGTCATCATAAACCGCATCCATGCGGATACCGTAGCACAAAGTGAGCGTAGTGTTGAGTGCATAACGCTGAATGTACGGCCGGATACTGACTTCCAAGGCGCTGCCTTTGCTGTCTCGCTGCAAGTCGCGCACGATGCAGTATGATTCGAGGTCAAACATTTCGTAGTAATTCTTCAACATGCCCTTGCTGAGTGTGGTTGATGCGGCTTTTCTCTTATTACGGCAGCTTTCATCCCAGGGCGAACTACCGATTGTGAATCCTTGCGTCGATGATATAACGCCATGAAAGGTATATAGTTTTGGACGATCAATCAATCCCTGTGGATTCGAGACGAGTATCTTTTTACAGTCTTGAAAGGAGCTGACGATGACAGCACGCGTATTCCCAAGCCGGACCTGAAAGACGGAGTGACCATATTGACGCCACCACTTTTCGCAGATTGTCGCATGGTCATCTCCCAGCTGAGTTAGGTGACCAGTGACAGGCAGTGCGCCAGGTATCTCGGGTATGCCGCGGATATAAGGAACCTCAGTCCGCGTGAGGAGCTGGCATCTTCAGCAAGCAAGATCTAGAGAGATGAAAGCGATGCGTACTTTGTAGATTGAAGCGACACAGAATCCAAACAGAGCCAATAGGGAAACATACCCGAGTGGTGTACAATAAAGAGACTGCAAAAGGTGGAGTACTTCCATGGTGCGTAGAAACGTTGACGGAGAGATGCAGGCCTGTGCGACGCAAGGAAGATCGGACAGGGTCTTATAAATTAAAAACGATCGTATTGTCGCCGCCGTTAGCCTCAAGTTGATGTTGCTATCGCATGCTCTGTGAGGGGTTGTGTCGGATCTAGTCCGAACATAGCACACCCAGCTGCTTATCAGTAATGTTCCATCCCACTTCTGCGCCTTTGCATCTCCACAAGCAGGATCTGATCAATCAAGTAGACACTCTGTGTGTATGATGAATTGATGTGATTTTTGCCAAGACTGCTACGTGAAAACGAAATGACAACTATACTTGAGCATCCTAATTGAGCATTGCGGACTATGCTAATACACGCGGTCGTGTCAAGCCTCAAATGTCGAGAAGCTTAGCATGCTTAACATCGGCACTTTCCAGATGTTCCTTGTCCTGCGTGTATTTCTGGAAACCCTCGGTTTTGGCAAAGTCGAGATGCTGCTCCACGCTGGTCCAAGGGCACATCAAAAACCACTCTGCCTTATCGTCCTCCTTGTCCACGCGCCAGCCTCCTCCTATCGTACCCTCTGTAACGTAGTCTTGCAGCTTGGCCCTGTTTGCGTCGAAAGTATTTTGAAAATTCTCCCTCTGGCCGTCCTTGACAAAGAGTCGTCCCACACTCATCGCCAACTTTCCTTCACGAGCGTTGGTCATCTCCGCTTCCGTCTTGGGAAGAAGCAGACCTGCATGCGACACGTCTGCGTGCAGCAACCATTCGACAGTCAATTGGTCCTTGAGGCGCTCCAGCAAGGCTTGATTGCCTGCGCTCGGTATGAAGTGGTTCATGTGTTGATCAAGAGACTCCCACTCTCCGATGATGTAGATGTAGGATGGATCCTCTATCTGTTGGAAGTAGTAGAAGGTGTTGTTGGTGTACCTTTGCATGACATCCTTTGCGTATGCAAGGTTAAATCGCAGCTTGGGGTCTTCAGCGGTACCTCCAGGTAGGATGCGCAAGAGTGCAACTTCGGTGACGGCCATGTTGGAGATGTAATGGTGGGCAGCAGAGAGTGCGAGTTATACCTAAGAGCCTGCTATGGGCGATACGTACCGGGACACACCACGGGAAGCTTTGTATGCGCCCTAAGTGCATCGTATATCCTAGTTATATGTTGTGTGGCTTGAGACTACCCCATCGTATCTGCTCTTGAGTGGGTCTCAGGCAGATGCGGCTTGCGTGGAAGGGTCATTACGAATGGGAACCTGCTTAGGTAAGCACAGGCGAGTCAGCCCGACAAACCTCTAAAGCCCAACATCGTCTTCCACCCATCGAATGGCAGACGATCTGCCTCCTCTCATCCCATGAACCTATGTCACGCATATGTTAGGATTCATTGACGCCTCAAACGTTCTCTTAGACTTCAGCTGAGTGATACGGTCGATGCTTATGGTACTCGAAAGGCATTGCTTTCCCAGGGCGATTCTACATTAGACTCTGTCGGACTTTTAATATACATTGCGCGATTCGACCGAACGATGATCGAGGAGAACGACTGCGCAATCACCTCACTGACAGCGTGCTGGGATAACTAACGAACCGGTATACCTATTTGTGAGATCACCCGTTGTTGGTAGCGCGGCCGTCGGACGATCTCGACCCTCATCTTCATCAAGAGGTCTTCCTGGATCCACAATTTCCCGGTTGATCTTGCATTTGTGAGCTTGAAATTAGTTCAAATTGAACCAAATGAGAAGCAAGCAGATTAATGTGTGCCAGAATTGTCGGCAACACAAAATTGGTGTACGCATTCGAAGGTTCGGGCTTTGATGACGCAAAACCATTCTGACGCCTCTTTAGTGTGACGGAAAGCAACCAGGCTGTACCCAATGCAAGCTCACAGGGCGCTCCTGTGTCGGTTATACCCAAGAGTTGTTGATTGTTCAGCATAAGCCTTCGTCTCGTCAGAAGAAATGCACTTTCCAGAAGAAGACGGAGCAAGTTCAGCCTTCTTCCTCTCTTCTTTTCCATGACTCTACACCGCTCTGGCCAACCTATGAAGAGTCTGTGGCAGTCATTGTGGAACGCTATATACCGAGCGATGAGATTCCATTCCTTTCGCCTGTTAGCCCTTCTAGATCGAGGATATGCGGTGGCTGGGTCCAAGCACTGCTGTATGTCGAACAAACGGGCGTAGGCTTTGAACAAGTCTTGTTGCCCGCGGTGCGTTCTTTAGTCATGTCCATGATGATCACCAGCGAAGAAAGCCGACGACAATATCTCTACACGTATGGCGGTGCGCTTCGAGGGATACGGGCTCGCATAAGCAGGGAGAACGATTCCACTAACTCTGCTCTTTCCCTAGCAAGTATGTGCCTGACATTGTCTGAAGTATGCAACCTGGGATATTCATGTCGTTTGAGCACTGACAGCAGTATCAGGTGATGATGCCGACTTCCAGCGAGGGCTCGACAGCCCACATACAAGGCGTTGCAGGAATGATGCAGAGTAGAGGTCCTTCGGCCTTTTGCGATGGCATTACCCACCTTTTGTTTGTTGGATTTCGACCGCTCATAGTGAGAAGCTTTCACGCCCCGTACATCTTCACTGCTTACGTTGACCAGGTTTTGGAGGCGCTGATGAAGCGCAGAAGAACTTTCTTAGCTGCAGATGAATGGCGGGCAATACCCTTTTCAACGCAAAGTCCATCGCCGATGCAAGTGCTGCTTGGGCAAGCCTCCACCATACCATTGCTTCTCGAAGAGGCAGACAAGGCGGACATGGATGTACAGGTCATTCGAAAGTCATTCGCGTCCGCGCTCGATACGCTAAAAGCCTGGGAAGACGATTTCCTGAGCCGTGACGATACAGTTTACTGGCCAGTTCCGTCTGCTCATCTGAAGTCATCGGTCGATCCACAGTTGCTACCGGATACTTGTTTTGAGTTCCTTGATGTGTCTCATGCAAACTCACTATCTCATTGCTGGGCCTTCCAAATTGTCTGCTTGCTGCAACTTGATGCATTCGAAGAACAAATGTGCGAAGTCCAGAGCAAAGAAACACAAGAACTAGATCACAATCGGAAAGCTGGGATCTTGGGGCTTTGCACACAGATTTGTCAAGGGTTGCCATATCTCCTACAACCAGAAATGAGTCTGTACGGACCTCTTTCCGCGACTTTTCCTCTACGCATGGTCTCGGAAAGCCTCAAGAGCATGCCAGAGAGGGGCCTTGATCAGTCCAAATGGTGCAACGCGATACAAGATCGACTCATTTCCAAGGGTATCATGCCTATGTGATGAAGTACATCTTTTGAGACATTCAAGAATAAGAGTCGTGGAGAGCTGCACATATTTTCTTGGCGGAGAAAGATACCGGAACAGGTTAGAGGCTTCGGCCCACTAATTCGCCACCCTTCGAACGTCAGTCGTCAACGACTGGAACCGGACGAGAGAGAAAACATACTTTCCACGTATCGTAAGCTATTTTGACCCCTCGTACATCAACCTCGGTTCTCGCGGTAGGTATAAAGTTCTTGAGTTGTCTATTTTCTCAATAAGACCTCATTCTCCTCTTGTGTGATTCACTTTTACAAGATCAATACTCAACATGGCCAGCTCCTTCCGTCAACTACTCGGCGTACCGCCATCGACAGCCTCTACGTCTGACTCCGCACTGATCATCATCGATGCGCAAAACGAATACTCATCTGGCGCCCTCGCCGTCACCAACGCAGAAGCCAGCGGGAAAGTCATCGCCTCGCTGCTGGAGAAGTACCGCTCTGCTAAGGGCAAAGTCGTGCACATCCTCCACAAGACCCCCGATGGTGCGCCCGTTTTCACTCCTGGAACCAACCTAGCCGAAGAGTTCCCCAGCCTCAAAGCCAAAGATGGCGAAGAACTCATCTGGAAGAACCACCCAGGATCTTTTGCCGAGACCAATCTTGACGAGACCTTGAAGAAGTGGGGCATCAAGAAACTTGTCTTGGTTGGATACATGGCGCATGTATGTGTTAGCACGACTGCACGCCAGGCGGACCAGAGAGGATACGATGTCATCGTTGTTGAGGACGGTATTGGCGATCGCGACATTCCTGGCGTGAAGGGAGATGAGCTTACCAGAGTGACGTTGGCGGAGCTTGGAGATGTGTTTGCGACAGTTGTTAAGAGTGCGGACATCAAGTAGATGGCATCGCAATGAATCATAACTTTGCTGCAATCTAACAGTGCGAGGGCTTGATGTTTCCCATCTTCATCCTTCTACTCAGCACACTCGATCATGTCAACATTTTACTATCAACATTCAACTTCTATTCCATCAGTACGTCTCTACCGCGAAGACCAAACCAAAGCCGCCACACTCAACCACGGCGCAACCCACAAACACCCCAGCCCAACATACATTCCCACCTGATAATACGTCCAGCCCACTACTGTCCCCGTCGCCGTAATCGCCCAGAGCGCCACTTTATCCTCGAAGCTCCTTGGCCCACCGGTCTTCCCCCATTTGTAGTTCAGCGTGGCTAGAATCACGGGCGTCAGCACCAAGTTAAACTGTCACGAACTCTTCCAGCCTCGGACCATTGAGCTGCACACACCAGTAACAAACAGCGCGCCCATTGCATACTCCCACGTCGTGAAGGCTATAGATTTGCCACGCGCATGTTGGGGCGTTGAGGGGATTGCGTCGATGGCTTTGGAGACGTGCTGTTGGCCGACGAGGAAGTGTTTGGGGATGGTGAGGAGGTTTATGGCTGCGGAGGCGTAGTAGAGTGTTGAAGGAGTAAAAGACATTGCTGTGGGTTGATGTCAGAATCAAGAAGCAGGAAACAGGTGCAGGCGGACTTCATCTATTGAAATTCTATCTTATATGCCTTGTACGACATTCTAACTACTGAAGCGGACAGGTGGTTGCTGTTGATCTGAGGCTTGTTGATTCCGTGAATTTCTTATGGCTCGGCTCACGCCCTCCCGCCATCGAAAGTTTAGTGCGCGGTGATGTGCGGGGTCGGGATGACGCCAACACTAAGGCAGGTGGGGGAACATTCTCCGCCAAGAGGATGAACGGAGACCGAGGGACTAGCGGGGAAGGAAAGGAAAGTTGGAATTTGATAGTCTATGTCTAACGTTCTTCAACCTGGGTATGCCATCTAGTGTAAATCGTGTCATGCGCTATGTCCTTCGTAATCACCACTCCTTTAGGACACGAAGTTCCTCCCTTCATCCTCCAGCCCCATCATGCAGCATCATTCATCCTGCCCAAATCAGTCCACTGCCCCTGCTCGTCTAATATCTTAGCCTGCACCAGCCATCGTGGCAATGACTCCGTTCTTTCTGCTTCGCTTCTTCTGTGCGCGCTTCTGGTCGCGCATGTATTGCTCTCGATGATGTTGATCGCGAGCCCACTGGTCGTACTGTGGGTTGCCAGAGGGCGGTGGTGGACCAGAGTAGCCTGGCTCGTAGTCTTGCCTTGATCCGCAGTTGCCCATGGTTGAGATGGTTTGTAGTAGTGGTTTATTGGTAGAGAAAGATGGAGTATATCTAGATGAGCGGGGTTGAGAAAGCTTGTTGGCAGGATTTGGTTGCGTGTAACTTGAGTTTGGTTGTTCTTGTTGTGTTCGACTTGGTGGATAGTTTGAGAAGGTCTTGAAGCGATGAAACGTTGACATGTGCAGGAACAAGACATACTAAGGCGTCGCAAGAAAAGCTTAAGTATTCCCTCTTGCACCCAGCGAATACATCATAGGCTGCGCAAGCCGTTTTGCATATAAGGACTGCCCTTCGAAGTCCGACTCGGGGACTGTGCATTCCCTTGTCGGGCTTCGACGTGATTGGCCGGCTCGTTCACGAAAAGCGGCGCAGTCGCTCGGACTTATAGATTCGTCGCGTCGCAGCCACACTGCGCCAGCAGGTGATGAGCGACGATCGCAACTGCGCCGTGGTACAATGTGCGATGTGGTAAGATTGCCGTGAAGTCTGGGGGAAGGCGACCGAGGATGACATCATCGCTCTGCATTGCTGCTACTACCGCGCTGCGTCTGACTGTCCCATTCGCAGGGCTCTGGCGTCCCATTCGCTTTACTCTCGTTGGTAGTGAGGCTGGTTAGTCGCAATGCCGCCGGAACCGATCCTTCGTGGGGCCAATTTCATAGACACCCTCTCTCAGAGTATAACGAAGCGCGGCTGGATAACGTCCCCACCGATGACGCCGCTGCGGAGTACGCGTCTGAAAACGTATCAAGTCCATGCATTAAAACTCCAGCGTCTTGACCTAGGCTGTTTTGTTGCCATCGCGTAGTTCAGTGAATAGGACACTGATTCATGTTATCCATATAGTGTTACGATCCGGGACTGTGTTCGCAAACAGCACGATCGCGGATGGTCTTAATAGATACCGAGCGGGGGTGCAGGTAACGTAGCCTTATGAGGGACTGCATTAAGACTGAATGTGATTTTGTTGTGATATTCCGCTACTAATTCTTAGGATATCTTCGCGAGCATCTCCTTCACACCCTGCTTGATTTCAGGCTCCATCGCAGCTCGCACTTGCTTGCAAGAATAGAGGAGCCTGCTGTACGAGAATCCAGGGATCCCTCAGTTGTAGATGTGTAGGCGCAGTTCTGCTGGGAGCATGAGCAGATAACAGGGGTCGACGTTGTCCATATTTGATGGAAGGTTTTGGAGATCGAGACAACGATCTTATTGCCTGTATGGTATCGATAACCACGTCACCGAGGCTGTACTACTTGACAAGCGAATCCAGACGTTTTCCAGCATACGCCTCCCCAGGTTCGAAACCTTCCGGCATTTCCAGCGCGCCGGCACCGCACGGGTACCGGTTGTCCACGTCTACCAACCTAATTCACCTCCTGTCAGCCTTATTTCGGTACTGATACCTGGGCGACCGTTGGCGCCATACCAACATGGGCTACGCCAGCGCTAACGGCCGCCGATGACAGCCCGTACGTCCCTGCCACCACAGCGCGCGTGAAACAAATATACACACCACTTTTGCTCATATAGGCACGAAACATGGAAGAAAGGACCAAGTTCTTAGAATGCGCAATGCTCGCTATTTCGCATTCCAGCGAATATGCTATGCGAACGTGACTGCCGGTTTGCATGGTCCTACACCCATGACCATAAGCCAATCTTACCAAACGGTCCGAGCGATGATCGTTAGGTTTGATCGATTTAGGTAGCTGGCAAGGCCATGGCTATAAAATCAGCAAACACATCCGCGTGAGTCCGTATGTTCGTGACGACTACACCGCACTGCGTAGATCCAGTTTTCTTGACAGAGCAGTTTTGATAGAGCAGTAAGTTCGACAACCCCGAAAATATCGAATGTTCGCTGACAACTTTTGGCCAGCGACGCTAGAGGCCATGGGTAACACTCCTTCCAGCTCTGCGTTGCAGACGTGCCTAAAAGGCGCCGTGGGAAATGATGTCGCTTTCAAAAGTGACCCTTTGTATCAACTCGTGCACGTCAAGCCATACAACCTTGGTGTTCCGAGTGTTCCAGCTGCTGTTACGTACCCAAGGACGGCAGACCAGGTCTCGAAGATTGTAAAATGTGCAGTCGACAATGCTTTGAAGGTGCAGCCGCGAGGTGGTGGGCACTCGTATGCAAACTATGGTATGTACATACCCAAGTACAGTGTGGTGGGAGAAACGGATCCTCATGGATAGTCTTGGAGGATGTCGGGTTACTCGCCACCTTCGAAACAATGCTAATCGTCGTTTTAGCTATCGGAGGCGGCGTAGATAATACCATCGTCGTCGATTTGAAAAACTTCCAGCAGTTCTCTATGGACCAGTCGACATGGCAAGCAACCATCGGTGGTGGCACGCTTCTCGGAGACCTTAGCAAACGCCTTCACGACAACGGAAACCGCGCAATGGCGCACGGTACCTGTCCACAGGTCGGCATCGGTGGGCATGCCACAATAGGCGGACTCGGTCCTCCATCCAGAATGTGGGGAACCAGCCTCGACGCCGTCGAGGAGGTTGAAGTCGTCCTTTCCAACTCTTCCGTCGTCCGCGCATCCGAGCAGCAGAATGCGGACATCTTCTTCGCCGTGAGAGGTGCCGCAGCCGGATTCGGCATCGTGACTGAATTCAAGGTGCGCACACAGCCCGAGCCAGGAGAAGCTGTTATTTACTCATACAACTTCACGGGGAACGATATAAAGTCGAAAGCGACCGCGTTCAAGCAGTGGCAAGCCCTCGTGTCCGACCCGAACCTGTCGCGAAAGTTTGCTTCTACATTTATCCTCACCGAACAGTTCGGCGCCATCGCTACCGGAACATTTTTTGGCTCCCGAGCAGAGTTTGACAGCCTGAACATCAGCTCGCGGCTGCCGCCCAAGGAAGAGTCGAACGTCGAGTTCAACGATTGGCTGGGCCTGGTCGGACACTGGGGAGAAGATGTTGCCCTGAAAATTGTCGGGGGCATCCCAGCGAACTTTTATAGCAAGTCACTTGCCTATACCAAGAACGACTTGATTCCCGATGAGGGCGTCGATAAGCTGTTCGAATACCTCGACAAGGCGGACAAGGGCGGTGCCTTGTGGTTCATCATCTGGGATCTCGCCGGCGGTGCTGTCAACGACGTCAAGCCAGATGCGACCGCATATGGGCATCGCGACACACTCTTCTTCCATCAGTCCTATGCCATCAATCTCCTTGGTAAGGTCAAGGATCAAACCAGGACCTTCTTGACCGAAGTTAACAGCATTGTCGAGGCCGCGGTACCTGGAGACCAAGACGGTGCATACGCGGGATATGTGGATCCGGCGCTCGGCGCTGAGCAAAGTGCGAGCTTGTACTGGAGTGGCAATGTGGACAGACTACAGAAGATCAAAGCGGAGGTTGATCCAAATGATGTCTTCCACAACCCCCAAAGTATCAGGCCTGCGAAGGGGAGCGCGAGGATGAGGCGATGAAGAGCAGGAAGTGGGGAGTAGATGGCTTAAGATTTTTATACCCTACTAGGATTCTTCTTCGCATCATGTTTAAGTAGCCCTATTCACCTGATTATCTTCTTCAAAACGGTGCTTCTCGCGTGCTACAATGAGGTCCTGGAGATGTATACGGCAAGCGTCTGCAGGGACGCTATACTTGGTATCCGTGACATACATATATCCACCCGGGGGTGGATGCTTAAACGTCATGGCGTTGTGGCGGGTATAAGACAAGTTTGACTTCCATCGGTATTGGCTGTTGGGATTGCATATCATGATCATACTGCCTTCTGTCAGCATCCTAATCAATCTAGCCCGTGTAAACCTACCGTCAAGGTAATCCGCCGCAATCAGCAATTCCAAGCACAGCTCAGGTGGGATATCCATATCTGAGACATCCTTGCTCTCCGCATGCTTCTGATTGTAGTATAGGTACTCGCAGACTTTCTCCAGTACGACGCCACTATATTACATCAGCCTTGACAAGTCTAACACAAATGCTCTACATGGTCGCATCGGTGTGTGAATGCGCGGTGCGGGGCAGCGCGGGGAATTCGTACTTTATCGTGGGCAAATCGATGCGATTCTGTGTGTTCTCGCGGAAGCCAGCTATATGAGCAGTTAGTGATGAAGTAGTGAAGGAAGTACGATACATACACAAAGGGTCCAGCGCCTTCTTGATCGTGCCTGCGATGCACGCTGCGGAGCGCAAGATCTTGAACTCGTAGCCATCCGTGGAGACGAGAGTGACGTACTCGGTAGACTTTTCGTCGGCCATTGTGAGGGGTGAATATGGTGGGTATGAGGTCACTGGCAACGATGCGCGTGAAGTGATCGGAGGTGGAAGTGGAGTGGCGGGGAAGGTGCGCGGTGTCACGTTATCTCGCGTGGCATTCTGAGCTGACTCGTGTGGACTTCCCGATTGAAATTTCACACGACAACACAAACGCACCTTACAAACATTTCTCAGATCAGCGCGGCATTCCTTTTTCTTCAAGAAGATTTGTCGGGGGATCTCTCGTCTTGGGGCTTGCTGTAATACAGATCCCTGATGAAGAGGCGTTGTACCACCACAACATATACGACAGATTTTCTAGACTACACGTGCCCACGGGGCAATATCAAAGTAAAGAGCTTGGACAAGGCCTGATGACCCGATTCTGACCTTTTCTGCTACGTCCTGAAGCCATTGCATTCGGAACAACCTTCACACGTTGAACGCGGACACCGGAAGCACCAACCTTCACAATGGCAACCACACGTCCCCGACACGTCCTCATCACCGGCGGCTCCCGCGGCATCGGCCTCGCCATCGCGCAACTCTTCGCCAAAAATGTCTACCGCTGCACCCTAATCTCGCGCAGCGAAACCGCCCTTCAAGCCGCCCTATCTACGCTTGAACCTCTTCCTCAATCCGTCAATCCACCAGACCAAGAACATGCAACACATGCCTACATCGCCGGCGACATCTCCGCCGTCTGGACCACGCAACTGCCCTCGCTGCTCCCCAAATCCGCCTCCACAAGCAAAATCGACGTTCTAGTAAATTGCGCGGGCATGTCGCAAGCGCTACTATTCAAGACAATGGACCCCGAGGCGATCGATCAGATCGTCAGCACGAACTTGACGGCCATGATGGTGGGCACAAAAGTGTTGTTGCGGGGCGGATATTTTCGTAAGATGGAGAAAGGGAAAGATGGCGCTGCGTCTGAGGAAGATGGCGTGTCCTCGATTATCAATGTCAGTTCGCTGCTAGGCTTGAAAGGCGGGTATGGAGCTGTGGCATATGCGGCGAGTAAGGCGGGTGTGTTGGGCTTTACGCGCGCGCTCGCGACGGAATATGCGAGTCACAAGGTCCGCGTGAATGCTATTGTGCCGGGGTATATTACTACGGAAATGACCAAGAATCTGGACGAGGATGCGTTGAAGGTGAGAATTCCGCTGGGCAGGTTTGGGAAGCCCGAGGAAGTAGCCAAAGCGGCGCTGTTTTTGGCGGAGAATGGATATGCGCATAATTGTGTGCTGGGATTGGATGGGGGGCTATCTGCTGTCTAATGGACGTGGGGCATGCTATGCTATGAGGATGAGGGCTGGCCGAGGCCAAAATGAGATGATTGCGACGCGTGAAAGCGCGCAATGCCAAGAGGTATATTCCCTCCCTCCCAAAACGCCATTGTTTCGTGCTGGTGCTGATGGTAATGTACAGAAATAAGTGAGCTGCATTGCTCATGTGTTCCACCCCGAGGATCAAGCAAAGTCTTTTGACCGAGGTTCCACATGTGCGCAGCGTAGCGCTAGGCGACGTCGCAATCCCTGTGTATGTTCTGGGGCTTAAGGCGTCGTTAAGGACCTAAGCGACGAGCGAAATGTTCAGTCGATGTCAATCGTGCCATCGTCCTCGATGATGTAAACGACCTCGTTGGCCTGCGTCGCGGCTTCCTCCACGACCTTGCCTTTCTTCCTCGTCATCTCGTCTTTGAGACCAGCCTCATCCGCCTTGCGCTTCGTCGTGCCATTCTTACCGTTATGCATAGTCGCGTCAATCTTGGCATGGCCATTGGTCTCCGGCTCAGGCTTCTTGGGCTTCTTCGCAATGACGAGTTGTTCGGGCAGACTGAGTGGGGTCTCGCCCTCCTCGACTTCCTTTTCAATGACGGAGAAGAGCACATCGACTTTGGCGTCCTCGTCTGCCTCATCAAAAACTGTGATGAAGGTGTCTGCCTTGAGACTCAGCTCCTCAAAGCTCTTCTCGAGATGCACATCCTCGTCGACGTCGTAGAGGAGATCTGCGTCGCGCTTGATGCTAAAGTCCTCGCCATATCCTAGCTGGGCCGTCAGTGTCTCGACAAGATTGCTCAGTTTGGCGCGCTTGGTATCGACCACGAGAGTAGCGTATGCGACGCCGCAAGTCGCACAATTAGGGTTTGGCGGCAGGAGCCTATCGCTGGCAAGTACGCGCTCGGTGGTTCGGGTGAGGAATGAGAACTTGGCCTTGTTGAGCTGTCCGCGCATGACCTTGAAGGCTTGGAGAACGCAAAGGCCAGCGGTCATGGCGTTGGTGGTGGCAATTGCGGGGATGATGTTGCCGGCCATTTCTGTAACTTATTAGTATCCATCAGCACGGCAGTAGAAAAGGTACCTACGCTTAATGTCAAACTTTGACCGCGTCTCGATGCCGAATATATGTGACCTCAGGTTCGCCGCCGCAGCAACAAAGTCGAGGGTATCCTCGTCGTCCTTGTCGAAAGTGAGTATTGGCGCAGCGTCGCCCACGTCGGCTCTGGCGCGCAACTCTTCAAGACGAGTGCTTAGGCGGCGCAAGCTGTCGACAAAGACGGCAAAGTTCTCAGCCGTGCTCCAAGTGACCTGATCTTTTTGCGCGACTGCCGGATCACACCCAAGCGACTCTTGCAGCAGCGCATCATAGTCCAGCGCCTCGGGTGCCCGCTTCGTCTTCCACATGCCCTCCATGCTCCGTAACCGCTCAACGTCTTCCTTGAATACCTTGTTGAAGAGTAAGCGCGGGAAGTCTCCTGAGCCCCAGGGCCTCACGAATGCGCTTCAAAGCCTGGGCCTCTTTCTGTAGGTTGGCGACTTCCTTGGCATTGTCCGAGTCCTCGCTGTGGTCCAGCTCGGGTGCCTCGTCTTCGGACGCGCCAAAGATTTCCGCGAACAGATATGACTTGCCCCAGACGATGCAGTGGATGGGTTGCGAGGGCGTGCTTCGGATGGTACAGACGGGGAAGGACTTGGGTGGGATTTTGGGCGTGCAGTCGTAGCATTCCGTCTCTCCCTGGTGTCGCAGTCAGCTCTCCGACGCCAGTTGTATCTTGCAATCACGTGGCGCACCTTCTTGATGACCTGCACCTGCCCGTTGAAGCCAGTCGTGCCGCTCTCAATGAGCGGAACATTTGCCGCAAGACACATTTTGTTCACATGGCGCCGCGCATCGAGGTTGTCTAGCGCATTAAAGACGATGTTGAATGTCTTGAACCACGCGACGTTGAATTGCGAGTCCTTGATGTTGTCGTGGTACGCTTCAATCTTGACGTTGGGGTTGAACTTGAGCGCCGAGTCCTTTGCAACCTGTCGCTATGTGAGCGCGTGCCGTTGAATCTTCCGCGAATTACCGTACCAATGCCTTGGACTTTTTTATATGCTCGTTGCGAAACAGGAACTGTCGGTTGAGGTTGCTGAGATCGATCGTGTCCAGGTCGACAATGTGGATTTCGCCGAAGCCGGTGAGGACAAGGTTCTTCAGCAATTCGCATCCGATGCCGCCAGCGCCCACCATGAGGACGCGCGACTGCCTTGGTCAGCACCCTCCGCGATCTGTAATCCCGCCTTCTTTACCTCTTTTATTGCGCCATGCAGCGTGCCGAGGCTCTTGCTCGCAAACGTGTCGCGTGCCATTGCGTAGCGGGTGGAGGTGGAGTTGACGAAAGAGGGGGAGGTGGCGCGACTAAGACATGAAGTTGTCGACCGTGTCTGGGGCGTTGCGCAGGTGAAGGCGAATTAGGCGCACAAGTGAGAGAGACGTCAGAGCTGCGCGACTTGCGTTGCGCCCGGGCCAGGTCCCGGGAGCCTCATCCTTGGCTCGGTAGCCGAGCGCCCTACGAGTGGATCAACATGTGTGGAGGAGGTACTAAAATAAACATTGCTGCTTCTCTCACCCACGCCACTTCGTATCGGCTTGCACCGTGACCGTGGTGTCGTGAAGTGTGGGGCACCACTGGCGGACAGACTTTCGGACCCGGAAGTACGTCATCCATCGCGAATTCCTCAAACGGGAGCCACCAAACACCATCATGTCGGACGACGAAGTCGACCATGAGCTCCTCGACCTTCTACGTGCACGCTTCGGCATTGGCGTAAAGGACACTGGACCACCGGAAACTAAAGTCCTCGAGAATGCACAATTCATATGCGACAACAGCGTCGACGTGGCGCTGGACATGCGCTCCACCAAAGTCGCAGCACAACTCATCTTGGACGAAATGTCAAAACGCGAGTACAGCACGTCTACCTGGTCCGAACATGAATTGCATCCAAAAGCCAAGGACGAGAACACTGTCAACTTCATCTTCACCATGGATTTACTCAACTTTAGCTTCTGGAGTGAGAAGCCCGAGGACGAAAGATTTGCCATTGTGTACAAGGGAAAGAGATGGACCGGCTATTGGAGCCTAGTCGCACTGTTGCAAAGAGCACTGGAGCAAGACATTCCTATTACAGACCCGGAGTTTTGGATCGACGAGGAAAAATGCACAGACGATGTCTTGAAGACAGTCTTTAGCTCTGGCATCGATGGCGCCGAAGAGATCCCACTATTCAACGAGCGCATCCGATGTCTACGAGACGCCGGCCGTATATTGGAAGAGGTACGCAACTCGCCTCCCTACGCTCCAAATAACCAACCGAACTAATAACTAACGTGCCAGGAATTCGACAGCAGCGTGGTGACACTTATTGAAGACTCCAAAAACTCCGCAGCAGGCCTCGTCAACCTGCTCGCCGAGAAGTTTCCCTGTTTTCGCGACGAAGGCACGTTTGAGCGCAAAAAAGTGCGCTTTCTCAAGCGCGCGCAAATCTTTGTCGCCGACCTGTGGGCCGCCTTTGACGGCGAGTCCTACGGCGAATTCAACGACATTGACCAAATCACCATGTTTGCCGACTATCGCATTCCGCAGATGCTGCACTCTCTCGGCATCATGTGGTACTGCCCACCCCTCGAGAACAAGATTCGTCGCCTGGAGGTCATTGAGTCCGGACATCCGTGGGAGATGCAGATCCGCGGATGCAGTATTTGGGCAGTGGAGTTGTTGAGACGCGAGATCGTGAAAACCAAGAGTGATGCGAAGGTTAATGCGATTTTGATTGATTTTTTCTTGTATGATTTGGCGAAGGAGAAAGAGAAGGATGATGAGAGTGGGGTTATTCCGCATCATCGGACGAGGAGTATCTGGTATTGAGCAACTTGAAAGAGTCCTGGCGTTCAGTGTCAATGTCAAAATAAAGGGAATGTCTGCGCACGACGATCGATCAGGATATCGAAGTCCAACGTCAAAGAAGACTATGGCCTCACTCGCCTGCAACCCAGATGTACGGACTTCATCTGCGCTAAGCAGCAGTCCATGACTCATGTGCCTCAGTGTGTTCATACGTCGAAGTAAGTGACGAGTGGCTGACTGAAAACTGACAAGTATCAAAGAAGCGGCAGCGACCGATCGATTGAATTTAGCCGGCTAAAGACCATCAATCCTTTTGGCGCCTTCGATGTGATTCGATCATTTTCGCTGCCTCCGCATGAGATGCATGTCGGTAAGCGGAGCCACCAAAATCAACACAGCCACTTTCCGGTGAGATCTAGCATGTTTGACTGCTTTCTGACATCTCACTCTGTCTTCTGCAACTCCTTGTACCCCTTCCTCCTATTGAGGCCTACCTGTCTGTACAACTGAGGACAATGACCGTAATCCTGCAGAGTTCCCGCTCTGCGCGGAATGAGATGGTAGACGAAGCTTCACAGCGCCCTTCAGCGCCGTCACTTCTCGGAAGCGATATACAAACCCAGCCTAAATGGTTTCGACATGCTTCTCTGCGCAAATCTCGCTCTGCGCATGATGATGCGACGGTTTGTGAAGCCCCGCAGCTACCTCTAGCTTCGACACCCCCACGAAGTGATCATACTCCAATACAGTCCAAATTGTATGAATATGTACCTCTGCGCAAGCCTAGGTCCATAAGACTCTTGGAAATTTTTCCGGGAACAGAACCTACGGCAATTCATTGTCGAATCCAAGAGGTGTCATTGGACGATCCTCCTAGCTACCACGCCGTGTCCTATGTTTGGGGCTCCTCGAAGCTGGAAAAACGCATACGCATCGGTTCGAGTGTGCTCATGGTCACGAACAACTGTTACCGGGTTCTTAGCAGTCTGCGAAAGAAGAACCTCCCTCGCTTCTGCTGGATCGATGCATGTTGCATAGACCAGGCATCCATGGACGAACGCAGTCTTCAGGTTGGCATGATGGGCGATGTGTATAGCATGGCTACGCGGACGATTGTGTGGCTTGGTGATGCTGATCTTGATTCCAAGCATGATGACGCTGGCGCAATACGATTCATCAAAGAATTCGCGCACGGCTCTACACAAGGTATGATCAATGAAATTATAAGAGGCAATATGCTCACACGACCTCAGATGAATATCATACAGTGGAAGAAAAGAAGCAATATATCAAGGCGTTTATGGATAAACCGTGGTTCCATCGTGTCTGGGTATGTCGAGCATAGTTGACGAGGAAAAGCTTTTCATGCTCACTATTCCCAGACGGTCCAAGAGTTTGCACTTTCCAAAAAATGCCTGATTATGTGCGGCAAAACCTGGCTGGAGGCGCAGGACCTGATGAAGTTTCTCGATTACAAACAAAACAAGAACCAAGTCCTTAGCAAGTTTCACAGGGTGCGGCTTCATCAGCAGATGTGGAAGTGAGTAAAATACGACCGCATGCATATCTTCTTGCAGCAAAATTTGAGGATGTTACTAACTTTTTTTCCCTTGATAGGGATGTGCATGCGAGACAAGCAGCTCACAACAAATCTGCACCATCACGAGACGATACTGCACACCATGCTGAAACAAAGTCACTCGCGAGTTGTTCGGCCCTACTGATAGCAACACGGCCACAAAGTTCGACCAATCCAAGGGACAAGATCTTCGCATTTCGAGGAATACTAGAGATATTGGATATTCAGCTCCCACGACCCAACTACTTGAGCCCAGTGCGTCAGGTATATCGCGAGGCTGCAGCAGCTGCTATAAAGCATGATCGCAGTCTCATGCTGCTATCTTCACTTACGGGTACTTCGATGACTACCAGTCTGCCGTCCTGGGTTCCTGACTGGTCAAACAACAACTTCATCACCGAGATAGCTTCCTGGGACACAGCATCCGCTGCGGGAAAGACCCCAGCATGGTACACCATTTCGGATGATTGCAAATCTCTTACACTCAAAGGCACCATCATTGACGAAATAACCTTTTCATCTCATGCTTACCCAGCAGTACGCGACCTCGAACATGCCGCGGACCAAGACGTGCGAAACTCTGCACGGCGGAAAGAGGTCGCAGTGCTGAAAACCTGGTTCGCCGCTTTCGAAGAGATCCACGGAGTGAACATGGACGCATTCTTCTCCAAGTTGGCCAAGGAAGCCTGGAATCAGACACGCCAACGGGGCGACGTAGGCACCGATGTCCTGGCCCATTGGTGGATCAAAGTAATCAAATGCGTTGGACTCGACGCCAGCGCCGTCAAGACTATCCCCAACCACATGCTTAAGATTCTCCTGGGTAGCGGCCTCGACTGGCCAACCAGAAACGGGATCAGATCGGCAATGGTTCCTTTTCACAAGATGATGAGGGAACTGCTCGATCGCAAGAAAATGTTCAAAAGTCCTCAAGGAAGGCTTGGCATGGGCTGTCAGTCGCTCCGGAGTGGCGATAAGATTGCCCTATTCAGTGGCTGCAATTTGCCGATGGTTATTAGTGAGGCGAAAGATGGAGATGCGTGGCGCTTCATATGTCCTGTTTATTTCGAGGGCGCAATGCATAATTCCAAAGCTTGGAGTTCGGCAAAGTCATACGACAAGTTCACATTCATTTAAACAGCGCAGATCGTCCGTGGACAACCCTTTCCAGACACAAAATAGCTTCTATTGAGATGCTGATGCTAGCTCTCTGAATACTGGCGTATGAAGCCATGCAGTTCCTGCAGCGAGTCTGACGGGCCACTCGTCATGTAAGCACCTCGATCACCCTCAAGTCGCGACACCTCGACAACCTTTCGCGCCAGCCACCAGAGCTCAAGTCCATATTTGGCGAAGCCGACATACGATCTCCTATTGGCATCTCTCGACTGAACACGATCCCAAAGCTCTTTCCACCGTTCTGTTGCGCGACGAAGAACTTGGTAGGTTGATGGTAGCAGAAGCCCCGTTCGCGAGACGAAGACCAAAGAGTGCAAAGCTGTTGAGAGTTAGCGTGGAACGAAAGCTATGCGCGGATGACTGCAACACACCGAATAAAATACTCATCAGATGCTCTATTTCGACGAGCTTCAAGTCAGACGGATCAATGGCGGTCCAACCCTCGCCGAGCAGTAGGTTCAGCCAATCCTTGAGACTTTTGTGTCGACCTCCCAGGTCGGCCGACGCAACGTCTAGTCGCGAGAACTCGATGGAATTTGAGGTTTCGAACGAGGCATAGGTGCTTGGGAGCGCCCCACACATTTCAGCAATGGTGATCTGAGGCGGGCTTTTGAAGAAGAGCGTATTCATGCAGTCGGTCGTGAATACCCTGTGTGCTAATCTACTGGACATTAGCTTGGCCGACAAGAGAAATGGCCGTTTCTCTTACCGGATCTGCACCTCATCTTTGATGAAATCCTCCCAGCCGCACTCATCACGGCCCTCTTTGCGACCTGAACTGAACAAGCCAAGATGCCTCATTGCCGCCACAATGTCCGAAAAGCAGTTGACGCGGACGCGTCGTCGATTACCATCATGATTGGAATTGACCTGCAGAGCATGGACGAGGACGACAGACTGTATAACCTCGACAGCCTCTCCGTGCTTGAAATGATCACCTTGCGCTGCCACTTGTCGCAGGAGCTGACACACATGCCCCTCTGCAAGGCCGAAGAAATATCGAGCAGACAGAGCGGCGTCTTGCGGCGCGCAGAAGATGGACCCAACGAGAACAACCCCGAGCAATAAAGAGGCAGACACTTCATTCACGTTGAATGTCGCCCGATGGATAAAGGGTGTGTGCGGATGGAAGAATTGGAAGAAGGCCGCGATGAACCCCGTTAGATTGTGGCTTGTGAAGACAACATTTGCCAGATCCATTATTGCTTTGCTTGTGGCAAATGGGGATTCAGACTTGGTTTGCATTGACTCATGTTGAGCTCTGAGGAGGGCGATGAGTTCTGCGGCGCGATGCCCGACTAAGACGGGAGACACTGAAAACTCTGGAAGTGTCTCCTGAGCAATGTCCAAATTTTGGCTCACATCAAAATCTGCGAATATCCCGGAGAACAAATCAGCCATAAAGTCATCATCGTGCAAGAAACCAGCAGGCAATTCAACTACGGCAGCCGGATTTAGAGGTGGTTCGGCATGGGCTTCTGAGATGGCAAAGGCGTCCGACACCAGGTCGAGCACGGGATTAGTGTAGTTGAGCATAAAGGTCATGGGAACTCGAGATGCAGTTCTGGCTTCATCGTGGACGGACCTGGAGAGCGATCAGTTGTGGAGCTCGCACATCGAGCGTCGTAACGTACGAGGAGCAATCCACGACCGCGGACATGCACCGCTTGCATGGCTGAGCGCCGTCGCATCGAAGCTTCTTGATCTGGCAGCGCTCACATGCGCGACTCTTTCTGCCCCGTTTAATTGCGGGTACGTCGGCTGAGTCTTCTACTTTTGAGCAGGTTTTGAAGTGACGTCGCAAAGCGTCGCTGGATCATCAGCGAAGGTGCGACTAGATCGAGTGAAGCACTCACTTTCTGGCAAAGCTTCGAGAACAATATTCGCATCGAAATGAGGAGGCAGTCGTATCTACTTGCTGTCAGCATGGTGTTCACGCGATGGACCGACCAGGGCAGCGTACGACTGACTTCATGCCGCCGGAGATGATTGAGGTTCTTGAACTCTTTACGACACGTTGCACATCGATGTTTCAGAAATGCAGAAATCTGCGCATCATGGTCTTCCATCCTTGCGACAGGTCGGCTGTGTCGGTGGTGTGGGCATTCTCCGAGAGTGGGATTTCCCCGAACCTCAACGACGCGCTATCGACCGAATAGGCCTAGCACTATAATGCTTCCTGCTTGCAAACTTGCCATCTTCTACTGTATTGCACAGTAATTTGACTGCTGATTGCGACTGCGTATGACATTGGAAGTATGTCGCTCATGAGGCAAGCTTTGCGCCGAAGCAGTCAACTTTGTGAGTATACCATTCATCGAGAGAGGGCACCACTAACATGTATCAAGATGCTACTCAGACAGCTTTCCCACCCTTCATCAATTCCTTCACAAGACAGACACATGCGTATGGGGCCTCGGTCTCCCATCAGCAGCGAGACAGCTCTTCCCAAGCCACTTCAAACACGAACGTGCCAACAACAACTCGCAAACGCACCAGTGTTGTCGAGCATGTCCTGTATGCCTTCCCATGTACCGAGAATACCTTCAATGAAGCTAACAAATCATCAGTACAACATCCGACCAAATCGTAAACTGGGCTCGGCAAGGCTCCCTCTGGCCCCTCAGCTTCGGCCTCGCCTGCTGCGCAATCGAAATGATGCACCTCTCAATGCCTCGCTACGACCAAGACCGGCTAGGCATCATCTTCCGCGCATCACCCCGACAAGCAGACTTGATGATCGTCGCAGGCACCGTCACGAATAAGATCGCATCCGCAGTCCGGCAATGCTACGACCAGATGCCAGAGCCCAGGTGGGTGATTAGTATGGGCAGTTGTGCGAATGGGGGTGGGTACTACCATTACAGCTATAGTGTGGTGAGAGGCGTAGATCGCATCATTCCGGTGGATATTTATGTGCCGGGTTGTCCGCCGACGGCTGAGGCGTTGCTGTATGGGGTCTTTCAGTTGCAGAAGAAGATGAGGAGGACAAAGGTGACGAGGATGTGGTATAGGAAGTGATCGATGTGTGGGTAGTACCGGAAGGGTTCTGCTTTCATTGCGCTTTCGACCATGTACGCTCTCCGAAAGACTTGATCGAGATGTGGAAACTTGTATGTATGCGAAAGGATGAGGGTGCGACCTCTCAAGATTGGTGTCCATCCAAGTAATGCGTCCCAGTCTCAAAGGTCATGTCATTCCATGGAGGAGACTTGCTCGAAGTGTTGTGTGATAGAGTTGGTAGTGGGACTTGAGCCTCTTCCGAAACCGAAGACCAGCCACGATCATGCCCGGAATCCTTGGGCTTGGTGGAACCAGACCTCGTAGCAAAACATCTCCTCAGTGCACAGCCCTTGGCTTCGACTAGTTTTGCCAATGACAACATGCAGGTTACGATGATACCAAAGCTGATCTCGGCAAAGATACAGAGGCTCAACCATGCAGTAATGTAAGAAATGTCTGCGTTTTTCTGGTTGATACGAACTAGGAAGACGATGACGCCAATGTCGGCGATACAGGCCCTAATAGTATCAGCGTGGAAGCATGAAAGAAAGCGTGAGACATCTTTACAGGCTGCCAATCGCAAACAGCGCGCTGATGCTGATTTTCCGTCGGATCGGGATTCGCAAAACCCAAATGCTCCGTGTCGGTAAAAGCAGAATCGCGATATCCGAAAGGATATTGAACAATGCGGCAGCAATGAATAGCTCACCCAAATTGATGCATTTTGCATTTTCAATAAATCTGTTCCAGGATGCTTCGTGCGGACTGCAACGAAAGATACTAAGCAGTGTAATGGTGATGTAGAATACTGCAATTACTACCATGATGATCAACGCTCCAAAGAACACAAATCGATTTACCGTTCGGTTCGGTGCTAGTAGGTGTAGGTACTGTAGCAAAATGGCGAGTTTGATCAGCAAGATTACAGGTCCGTACATGATCTCGTATACGTGAAGCCACTGCCCAAGTCAGTAGCTGTACTGATATGAACATACCGAAGACTTGCGTAAAGTATGTTATAGAGGTCGTCATTGCGTATGTTCCATTGATGCATGCCAGCGCCGGCTCCAAACATGACGCGACCGATGGCAATCATGGGAATGAACGCAAGCTGAGATTGTAAGTCTATAGAATCGACATTGCCAAGCGACTAACAAATGCAAGTACCACAAAGTCTGTCTCATGTCAGGATGAATGGTTCCAAGGCAAAAAATGTTGCCCTTACAGTCTGTTAAATCCGTCTTGCGAACGATGAAGACTTTGGTGTACAACCGCAAAAGAACAAAAAGCCCAGGGACAGTCGTGCAAAGTACAGCGCATACTTGATACCAAACCAGCGCATCTGAGGCTGTTCCGAGCTTGCCCTGTGATCCAGGCGGTGGATCGGCCGCAAGACCGTTCGGATCGTCGGGAAATGTTGGCGTGGGCATGACCGCTGAATGCAGTCACAACCTCGACAGCGAAGTAAGTTGTGGGCGAAGGACTTTAAGGTAAAACACTGAACATGAGCACTTGGGGACCAAATTACTCATTGGCTCGTTCTCATGTCAGACAGTAATATAGGTCATGTCCGAATGTCGTGTAACGCCATGTAATCGAATGAGACGCTGTACACTAGCAGCTTACGTGCGATCGCACGCGACGATGTAAGCGCTACGATGTATAAGCCCCGATGTCGACGAAGCGGAATATTACAAAGGCAGAGCACTAATTAACTTGCAGCAGCTTTGATACAAGTCGAGTAAGCATCTCGATTGTGGCGTGATTCATCTGGAGCGAAGCAAATGAGGGTTGGCAGAGTCGACTCGTTCGTTTGCGTTGAAGTCTTCGCCTACACACTCATACACGCACATAAAACGCGACAACCTTGGAATGATCGTGTTCCAAATCAGAGACGTACAGAACTTGTTGCACACCAATCGCAACAGCCGTTTGCGATGCGACCATGAAGGGAAGGAAACGTGCCAAAAGCAGGGTGGGCGCAAGCACTACAGCCTGACGACTCCCAACTTCGGGTACTTCGAGCGACAGATCTAGACACACAACATCTACTCAAGGCACGTCTAGGCCCAGTCCATCGACGCAATCCTCATCTTCTTCGCAATCTGCCATCCAACGGTTCAGACGCTCACTGTGCTCGACTCCAACCGCATTCCTCGCAGTAATCGCCATGATGCAGGCATAGCGTGGTTCTGGAACCAGGAAGAAGACTCGACGTGATAGTCCCCAAGGTAAAGGTGGGCCAAACGCGAAGGCGGCTCAGGTGAGGCTGACGAAGCTGGAAGGAGCAGGGGATGACGACCACAACCAAGTGCGGCTGGAATTCCCGACAACAACTCACTTCAGCAACTCCATCACTCCTTCACCCGCAGGCGAAAAGCGGAGACCGTCGATGCACTCAGCTAGCAGTCCAGCGATAAGCAAACCGAGGTGGTCAGGATGGACTGCCTCGTTCATCTACAATGTACGGGGCTCTGTCACATGAGCGCCTTTGCGGGTACTCGTCAACTACGACGGAAAGTGCGACAGGCCACAACCCATATACCAGCCTGAAGCTGTACACTTGGTGCCGTCGATATACGCGGCGAGGTGTACGAGGCCCGTCGTCCCATGGGCGGCCCATTCTGGATGCGCACTCAAGACGGGCGAGTCGTAACTAGGCAAGCGTATGGAACGACTCTGCTGTGCGGAGTGGGGCACGAGCAGAGGGCATGGGAGGAGTTAGCGACGACTCTTGCGAATAACACAGCCTCCAACTCATTCTGGCTGACTAGAAACACCGAGGGCAAGTACTTGGTTCCGTCGGACGTGTCTACGGTCACTGGGCACTGGGACGACACCGGGGTTACCTTACCGTACTCAATGACAGGTCAGCCAAGGCAGTCAACGAGGACGGTCGCGCAATCTCCCCCGAATCTAGCGACCTATCCACGACCATCAAGATCGACTGGCCAACTTGAAATGGCCTTCGGCCAGGCATAACCTTCCAGTCGCCCAAAGAGGTCAAGATGGATGACGGCGATACCAAAGCCGACTGGCCTGCAGCTGGTCGAGCTCTGGCATAGTTCAGGCCTACATAGAGGCGACCGACTGAAGGCGAGACCTCACTCCAGCGGCTATACTACTCCCTCGCCTCAAAGCGAGAGGCGGCCTCGACTGGGACGATCGACACAACGACTGAGCTCGAGGCGATGCCGCGATCTGACGCAAGATACACGCCGACCCAACGCCTCGTCAACGCCTACGACAATTCACTCTTCCGCAACTCGCTCAACTTGCTTATGTGGTCCAAACTTCGCATGTACTGTCCTGGGCTCCTACCGTGGCGCAACCCCAACCTTCGTGGGGCTTATCACAGAGACAGCGACGACCATCGACAATCCCGGGAGACCTCGCTGGCTCTCATCCCGCAATGCCTGATCCTGCCGACCGCCTGCGACAATATTCCAATCCGGCTCCCGTGTCCAGATGACAGATGCGGTGAAATCCAGCACGTCGAGCGAATCGTCGGAAAGTGGCCTATGCTCCTTGCATGTGGCATCCTCAGCAAAGTCCAATGGAAGCCCCTGGTGCTCTCGGGATGCAAGACCGCAAGATAGGACGCCGAGGCAAGCCACCTTTGCGGCCAGCACGCCTGCTCCAGCCCATTCCATGTCATTCCCGAACCGCACGCGAACAACATAGGTCGAAAGACCTGCCACAAGCGCGACCGCTGCAGCTGCAGTCAGGGGTTGCGCTGCATTGTCTCGGTCAAGCTCGCACCGCCGACATTGACGACCAGAATCGGGCATGGGAGATGACGCTTCATCAGTATCGAGAGTGGCTCTACGGCTGCCCACACGAGCACTGCACCTTCAAAGTGGCCGGAAACACGTACGACAGCCTAGCAGAGCTGGCCAAGCAGTTACTCATGCATGGTGACTGTTCTCACCGGTCCACATATGGCCACGACGCTCCAATCCTGCTCACGGCAGCCGACCAGAGCACGTCTCGCACCAAACAGGCCGTAAAGGCTCCAACACCGTACCAGAAGGCCCTGGACCTGTCCTCCGAAGACCCGCCCCGCAACAGCAGACGAACAGGTCTATCCAGGCCACGCTACAGCTTGTCCGTCCATGGGTATTACGCCAAAAGGACGACCTGATACACCTCCAGTCCATCGCGTTCGTGGCGTGCACCGTCCTGGACAGACCAAGCCTGCGCCCGCAAAGTGAACACTGGGTCGTCTTAACCAGCCTTTGCACGTATGTTCCAGCAGCATATCTCACCGAGCCGACCATCCCTGCATCAGCACAGCATCCAACCAGCACAAGGCTGATAGACCCTCGCACTCGTTACCTATCATGAGCAAGTAGCACGGGGTTAGCGTAGCATTTCAATTAAACTCACGTCTCACGCCATCACTGGCTTCATGAGCCGACTGCATGTGACTCTAATCAAGTGAAGTGTGCTTACATTGCCTACTCAAGCGCATGGTCACTTGGGCAGCGAAGTATGGGTAATTCATAGACGTGCAACATGTTGGGATAATCTTTGGAACGATGAATTTAATGTACCGATGCTGGCAACACTACTTAGGTGAGTCGACGTGCAGACCATGATGCCGAATTGCTATTCGAAAGCCCAACCAGCGATTTTCTCAGGCATTCAATCGCCTGATAAATCTCGCGATCGAGCAGTGGCCTCTTGGGCTACACCATGCTTGTGTTCTCGGCCGACGTCCGCCTCGTCGGTGCATGTAGGGCTGTTCTGCGACTGAAGATTTCAGCCTGAGCGAGCTGGCACCAAGTATTGCAATAATTCGTGCGCGCTCCGCCTTAATTCAAAGTCGTGTTAGAGAAGAAGTATTATCTCATGTGTAAGCCTGGAAGGACTCGCAAGGTTATCAGCGCATTGTAAGGGGCCGAAAAAGCCTTCAAGGCATCTAGCTTACTGGATTCCTTAGAGCAGTGCTTGGGTTTCCTAGACACAGCGCGCACGTGTTATTGCAGCACTCGGTGCTGGGTCTGCAGGGGATGACGTCAGAGTAAGTAAGCACTGCAGCCTAAATCCGTGAGGTACCTTCAACAATCCGAGCAGCTCAAGCTACAGATCTCACCGAAATCATTTTTCCGCCTTTGATCATGGCTGACCGAGAGAAACGCCATGCAGCACAATATCGAGTTGTACAGAAACATTTTGGAGACAACGTCGCCACGGGCAATCTTTCCGGTCTTCAATCATGGCATGAGGACTACCAAGCAGCTGACAAATTCCTGACATTGGAATCGGACATTGTTCAGAGCGTTAAATCTGATAAACTAGATGCGCACACTATCGAGAAATGTATCACCGAACTGGCCAATGGAACCCAGGTCGACGAGAGATTCTGCGCCGACTGTCAGAATCTCTTCGACGACTGGCCAGACCTCAGCGACCCTAATGTCAAGGATCCTTCGACAGGGCTGATTTGGCCCGGCTCAGGCGCGGACTGGAAACACACTGTGGCGCGTAGCCTCCAGACACTTGTCATGGAAGCCGCGGCACAGCAAGGATGTAAATTCTGCGCCTTTTTGTTGCAGATGCTGCGGGACGCTGAAGCTCTGGTCACGTTTCGTAAACTAGAATTGAGACTTCTTGCTCTAGGAGATGCAGAGACGGCTTCTCTGTCAGTGCAGAATTGGGGCACGAACTCTTCCCAACTATTGTGGATCAACTTACCCGGCAAGGTGTGCGATCACTGCAATAGCTCCATGGCGCAAGTAACAGGTTTCGAATCAGCCGCACTGGAAAGCTCTGGTATACGCTCTCTACTGGCAGTATTCCATTGTTTTCTTGGCTGACTTGTAAAAGCTGATACATATACCCAACAAGGCGAACTCCTCAAGATTGCAAGAAATTGGGTGAGCAACTGCGCAGAGAACCACAAAGATTGCAACGGAAGCCACAGACATCGCGATAAGCTACCCACTCGGCTCATCTCCGTCAATGAGGAAGTACCACGTCTTGTCCTTACAGCAGGGTTGGAGACGAATGATCGTCCACGATACAGCACCCTCAGCCACTGCTGGGGCACTGAACCCTTCCTTCAGCTAACGGAGCAAAATCTTGATACATTTGTGGAGCACATCCCTCTCTCTCTCCTGCCACAAACTTTTAAAGATGCAATTCAAATCACCCGCGAGCTCGGTCTTTCATACATTTGGATCGATTCACTATGCATCAAGCAAAGCGATACTGCTGACTGGGTTCGCGAGGCTGGCTCCATGAGCTTTGTGTACGGCAACTCCTTTGTCAACATCGCCGCGTCATCATCTCCCTCCGTACATGGCGGCTGCTTCGTCCGGCCCAAGTCTCTTGTGGACGGTGTCCGCGCTGTTGTCAAAATACACCCCTCGTCTTCTACCCTTGTCCGCGAATTCCGGAGTAGAGAGGTCTATGACTTGAACACGACAAAATCACACCTTGCGACACGCGCATGGGCTCTCCAAGAACGTATCCTCCCGCCACGAACGATTCATTTTGGTCATCGCGGCGCCTTTTGGGAGTGTCGCGCGGAGACCGCAAACGAATTCCTGCCTAGTGGCTTCCCAAAGCAACTCGGCAGGGGTATCGTCAATGAGCGAATCCGCATAGGCCACTTCGCCTCGTGGTGGAGTGACGTTGTAGCGTTGTATTCTGCCGCGAACATGACATATCCGAGTGACAAGCTGCCTGCGCTGTCCGGCATCGCGCGTAGAAATCACGATGAGCGTGGTGGAGCCTATGTTGCGGGCATGTGGCTTGATGAAGATATGCTCGTGCAGTTGTGCTGGCGTGCGATTGAACCACGCGTACGCCCTGTTCAGCGAGCCCCCAGCTGGGCCTGGACAAGTGTCGATGGGCAAGTCAGATATCAAGTGCGCCAGGAAGGGATTATGGAAACAAACTACGGGCGAGTATTGGATGCGAAGATGGACTTGCTTGGTACCGATCCACTCGGTCAAGTTCGTGGAGGTGAATTGAGGCTGGCGTGTCAGGGCATTCTTGAGGCGACCAGAGTTGGCCCAACGACGTTGGCTATGGGAGAAACGAATTATCCGTTTCGGCCAGACTACGTTGTCCCTGAGCCGACGAGCTTTCAGAGAGAGAAGGTATATCTGCTGCCCCTTGTTGCTGGGCGCACAGGTATGGCAGTATACCGGAAGGACGACTACAACGAACGAGTACAAGAGATCCGAGTGGATGGACTCGTCTTAAGAATGGAGGAGATGGGCAGCAAAGCTTCTTTCGAACGTGTTGGTATGTTCCGATACTTCAAGGACCAGGTGCATGATCACGATGACGGGAAGGAAGAGAGATTCGAGTCGTTTGTAGCAGAGTTTGAAAGAGAAGCATTGCAAGTAGTAGTGCGTCTTGCTTTGGAGAATTTTGAGAAGACAGACCTGTTCATCATCTCGCTAGTCTAGCTGTAGTTAATAATTCACGGCACGACCGCTAGCGAGCGAACGATACTAATTTTCCAGAGTATATGCTGTTGCGATTAAAAGGGCAGGCGCCCGTTTCCTCCAAAGACATGGCGTATCTGGTGATCAACGGCGCAGATTGGTGGACAATGCCCAGGTGCAGCAGGTTGGGTCGATTTTCAACAACGACCCGCGCAACACGAGCGTCGCACGCCGCCAACACATTACGAACATCTTTCAGCAAGATCATTGACCTCGTACGGTGTCCGAACTGGCCACACCATCCACAATTTCTGTTGTGTCAGCAGCAGCAACAGGCAGACACATCAATGTCTCCAATAAAGGCCGCTCGAGCGTTGATCCAGGCCTGCGCACGAGGCGCATTTGCAGATGTAGTCAGGCCAACCTGACGCGTGTACTGGCAATGTCCAACATTGTTATATCCACACCGTCAAAGATCATGGTGATCGATGCGGCTGCTCACATCGGCCAGATGAAGATCTTCGGCATCTCAATAGCATCAGTCCTAGGGCGTGGGGCGAAGAACGCGCACAGCCCAGTGCGGGCAGGGTGGGCGCAGCGTGATTTCACAAACTGATCGCTAGACTTGCACGCGGAGGTCCCCGTCACGCCCGAAAGGCACTGCTCAAAATTTGATCGCAAAGTCGTCGAAATGGTATTGCGGCCAAGGCGTGGTGGTGTAGCTAAGTTCGCGCGGCTGCGGAAGCTTGATGAGGCTTCCTCCCGCTAGCCGCATGGCAATGTGCGTTAAAGCCGCGGCAAGCAAAGTCAGACCGCCTCTAAAAGCAGCGGCATCTCCCGAGATCTTGCTTGCGTAAAATCGGGACATAAGCGAATGCAGTTGGTTGCCTGAGTACTATTTGGCGTGTCTTTGCATCCAGGTACGTGAGTTATTGGGCAGAATGCTCGTTCATTCTCACGCTGAAGAATACTGCCAACGTCTTAGAGGTCGTTTCACGAAGCTTGACTATTTCGAACTGTTCGCCCAATCTCCGTATCTTTTCAGACCTGTTCTCCATTGCTGCATGCTAAGAGATGCGAGCTGCGAACGGCCCGTTGAATGCATCTAATTATAGGTTAGTACTCAGTGCATGCATGTTTCAAGGCGTGCCTTTCGGGGTCCTTCCGTTACATCTTCTTACAATTCACCTTGGCATGGAGTCTGTGCTGGACCATAGTGCTGTGCTACTCGCATGCACTACTAATCCAACAACTCTCCGCCCCTACGATCTCACTATGTGATGCCATGTCTCGGGTAAGAATCAGTGCATAAGCATTGTTGACGTCTGTGGCTACGATTTATGTGTGGAGACGTGATATATCTCTTAGTACGCTCTCTCCAGCTTCGACAACCAGACTGTTATATGATCATTTGAGAAGCGGAAACATTCCACCTCACCAACACTATCAGATTTACCAAGAAAGCCCATCGATGTTTCTTTGATTGACTCCTCCATGCCGCGCGGTTCCCAGAAGACGCAACAATCACGTCCAAAGAAAAAGTATCAAAGATCACAGAGTCCTACAGCAAAAGAGAAGAGAAAGATCCAGAATCGCATCGCTCAGCAAAACCACCGTAAGCTGCTCACGCAAGTCCTTTATTGTAGTTGCTAATTGTCTACAAGGGCGCCGGATGAAAGAACAGTCTAATAATTCTTCGGACGAACAGACTAACAATCAGAGCTCTGTATCAGATCGACCCATGGCCTCTACGGCGTCAATGGATGGGTTATCGAGCTCCATGGAGGCGACGCCTATCAATGCTCCTTCCCATCCACTGCCAGTCGCATCACTCGACCCAATGCTCGACAACTTGTCTGCATCAGTTGCGTTCCAACCTGATCTAAGTCTTTTCATGTTTTCATCTCCTGAAAGTTGTACTTGCAATCCTATGACTGAGCTATGCTTATACCACCTGGACGAAATGCAGTTCAAGATGATGATGGATGCAGTGAGCAACCCTGCGCCAAACGTATTCTCTGTGACGGCGCCACCACTTGTCGATCCAGCTCTTTCTGCGGTTACAATCGACCAGGATAACAACTCAACCTTCATGCTTGACACGGCATCATTACCTCCGTCACCACTTCTAAAACAAAGAAGAAGCGAATCTTCCTCGGCAAGATCAATGCCTTCCACACAGAGCCACAGGGTCGAAAATCGTACATCACATCGGAGCCGGAGCAGCACCAGCTCATCCAAGACATCGAGTCAGCAATCACTGAGCTCTTCTACCGACCGCCCAAACTCAACCTCCCCTACATACAGTCTATTATCGACGCGATCATCTCCTATGGTACTCGATGAGCCAGTATCTCACAACACTGCCCGCTTCACAAAGATCCTGGCCACATGCCGCGAAGCCGAATTTACCGATTTCGACAGCATGGCGTCAACATACTACACATGCACACTCGAGAAGTCCAGCGTACCCGAGATGGCTCAGCGCGCTTCTCGATCCCGGCATCTTCCGCGCGTCATGCAAAACCTGCACGCAAACAGCAAGACTTGGCCGCGGTATGAGTCTCGTGGTATTCACGAGGCCGCTACGGAGCATGCGAAGTCAGTGTACGAGGAGGAGTTGCAAGAGGTCACGCGAGGCCTTGACGAGAGGATGCAAAGCGGACAATTTGTCAACTCTACACGAGCGCAGAAGGAATCCTGGAGGGTCGGAAAAGGACCGGGCGATGGCACAGCTGACATCATTGCCTGAGGATGTTGAGATGGTGGTGCAAGACAAGGCGCCCAGGCTTTGGTCGTTGCTGACGGAGCTTGCTGGGCCGGAGAGCTTGTATTGTGACAAAGTCAGCCATGCTGTTGTGGCGTTGCTGATCAAGGGGCGACAGAGTCAATGGAATAACTAGACGCGTGTTTTGCTTCGGTTCGATTGGTGTAAATTATTTTTAGAGCAAAATGTCCCTTCAAACATGAAGTTTGGGCATAACCATTCACAACGTGTAGTGACAATTTGGAGTAGAAACTGACAGGATCGATGCGACGTTTTACAGGCTGACCGGAACATTGCAAAGGGCAGAAATTGACTCAGATCTCTGCCATAGGGCTTCCAATGAAATAAGCCCGCAGCCCTTAAGATCGAAGAATGGATCGTTTGCATTCTGGATCGATCATCAGGCGTCCTGCTATAAATTCCTCCGCTTGTGGGTAAGACAGTCCGCATTAAGTATGGTGAACACGAAAACCGACATGCGCAGCGAATCATTTCATGCATGTCATGCGGCGGCTAGATCCTGGTTAGCGTTCACTCAAAGAGGGTATTGTCAACCTATCGCACTTCATTTTCCTTTGAGCATTCCGTTATGTACTGGTAGTTTATCGAGTCCTCCCAGGCTCGCATTAAAAGCAGAAAATGCTCTACTAAAGGAGTTTGAGTTAAACCATAGCCCGCATGAGTTGTCACTGCACCTGGTATTGGAACCTATGCTCAGCTCAGCCTCGTCAGTCTTACACTTAGCTCAGCCTTGCAATTGCCTATGTTCCGCTCAACCCAACCCCGCGCCACGACCCCTTTTGGAAGGGATGCACGATAATGTCAGCCAATGTTGGGTCCTTCCCAACTTTGTGAAACAACACAATCCGCCGCACAGGCGGCGCAGTCATCCAGCGATGACGTCTTTGGGCTGGTACGTCTTTCTTCAGCACCTTTTCATACACCCGCGATTTTTGAATAGAGGGATCGTGATCCTACTGTCAGTTACGAGGCGAACCTATACACCCTTCAGTTTTCATCAATTTCCAGTTGCATCATACACCCAACTCATCATGGGTAGCGGCGACGGCCAGATCCATTTTCGCGACGGCATCGCGATTTTTCAAGTTGTGCTCTTCGCGGTCTCTTTCTTCGTCGGATATTACTTTCGCTGGACACGTCGAATATGCTGGTTCACTCTCGGCGGGTTTTCACTCATACGGTGCGTGGGAGCTGGATGCATGCTCGGTACCGTGAACCGCGACTCTAGCGGACTATGGGCCGGAGTATTTGTCTGCGAGAGCCTGGGAGTGCTGCTCTTGATCTTTGCATTATTCGAAATGCTGGGCAGAATGTAAGCAATGGCACGATTGCAACGTTTGCACGTTTGAGCGCGAAAAGCTAACAATACGACAAGAGATAAAACAGCACATGTCGTTCACGAACGAGTCTTCTGGATCCCACAGATCTTGACCTGGATTGATATCGGCATTTCTATTGGTGGATTTGTCATCGTCACGAAGAAAGAGCACAACAAACTCCTGCCTACACCTTGGTCTCGCGCCGGTATCGCTATTCTCTTTTTGATCTACCTCTACACTCTAGGTGTATGGGTATACTTTTGGACGCAGCGACACCGATACGATGCGGAAGACTACACGCTAGCTATCTGCGCAGGGATTGGGCTTCCCTTTCTCTTTGTCCGCGTCCTGTACAGTCTGATCTTCGTCATTACTGCAGACATGATGTGGAATGCAGTGAAAGGCAGCCCGGTGGCGTATTTGCTTATGACGATGCTCCCAGAGGTGGCATTTGTGACAGTCTGCTGCTTTTCGGTCCTGAAAACCCCGCCTGAAAATGTCAAGGAAAGCAACACGAAGTTTCAGCTGCGTAGGGAGGGATAGAATTAGCTCAGGATGTACAGAATCCAATAGCACTTCTGTGTCGAAGCGGACTACGGCTGTGCATTGCCTCATACGTGAGAGACTGTGTGGGTGAAACGGAAATGGAGATGGAAGCGACTGGAATGACGACATAAAACTGTAACCAAGTCAGCTCTTTGGTCGTAGATTAAATTAAAAAACTGCATATTTCTAGTTACTTTACACTTGTCATAGATGTTCTGACTAACAAGTACAAGCGTGTCAGCTACTAGTTAGCTATTAGCTACTGTATCGCACACTAATGCTTCCACAACATAGGATATAAAGAGGCTTCTATAAGATACTACACTACGTTTTTTACTAAGAATAGTTACTAACGTAGGCTACAAACCTATATAGTGCACTTATAGGCCGTGCAAGAAAATATCTATATCTATTATATTTAGGAAAGATATAAGCCTTTATCTCTATATATATTAGGATTTCTAATATTAGGTTAATAATAGTGCTAAGCTAGCCTATGCATACCTAAGAGTTAAGCGATATTATAGCAGAGTTAAGCGATATTATAGCAGAGTTAAGCAATATTTTAATAGAGTTAAGCAATATTATAGCAGAGTTAAGTAATATTATAGCAGAGTTAAGTATTTTAATATCTTTTAGTAGCTAAAATTATATATAAGCAGAGTATAGCTATTGCTAATACGTTATAAGAGGTTATTAGAGATATTCTAGGTTATAAAGAGCGAAAACGTGCTTAAGGTTAGAAAAAATATTTAGACTTTCTAGAGCCTACGTGCATATGCATGCGTCTATAATTAAAATATACTTTTTAGATTATCTCTAGACGTTGTAGTTATAGAGATATTGCTGTAAGAAGAGAGTAGTAGTAGAGTCTAGTGTAAGGCTACGCTAGTTTCTAATTAGAAGT